GGTCGTGCTGCTGCTGCCAGCCATCCCTGGTGGTCCTCGTGGTAAGTGAACTCTAGCCCTTTGGGGCTAGAGTTCACTCTTGCGAGACCCGGTCGGTTGCCATAGCAACTGTCCGGATCTCGCGAGAGAAACCCGGCGGAGCTGCAAGTTAGAGCTCCGCCGGGTCCTCTCTCCTGGCGGCTGTGTCCCTCCCTCTCTCCCCACCGGCGGCCGCGTTTGAGCGCATGTGGGCCGGTGAGGGAGAGCTTTGATCTCCCCACCGGCCCTTCATGGAACATAGCGGGGCCGGCGCTCGGATAGTGCCGGCCCTGCATAGACCGGCAGGGGAGATTCTGGGACCTCCCCTGCCGGCCTCGGCCCCATGGCCACCGCGGCCCACCGGGCATTTGCCCGGTGTGCCCGATGGCCAGTCCGGGCCTGCTTCCTAATCATTTGGATCACTCCTAGAGAGACCGTGTGTTCCATCACCGGACCCCTTCTGAATCTCCTCTTCATACCCCTATATCTTTGATTACCTGGTTAACTAATTCGGACTGGCCTTGACTCTGCTTTTGGAATTTCCTTCAATACTGCTTGATCTCCTATTGAACGACTTCGGACTGGATAAAGGACTCTGCTTATGGACTAACCCTGTACACATCACCTAAACTTCTATTTTCAAGGACTGTCAATTTATCTCTGTGCTTTGCTGCCACATCAGTCTGCCGAGCTGAAACTGCCTCAAAATAAAAAGTGAGTGGTTCTTATTTTTTTGTTTGGCATTTGTTAAAGAAAAAACATTACAGATTAATTGTGCCTTACAATTGTCAAACTTATTTTAAAAAATAATGGATCCCCACAAAATAGAAGCAATAAAAGATTGGCCTATCCCTAAATCTAAAAAAGATGTTAAAAGATTTATTGTTTTTTCAAATTTTTATAGAAAATTCATTAAGAATTTTTCAACGATTGTATCACCATTGACAAGTCTTACCAAACAAGATTGCCCTTTTAAATGGGGAGAAAAAGAAAATCTAGCTTTTAATATTTTAAAAGACAGCTTCATTCCCGCTCCCATACTCAAACAACCAGACCCTTCTCTTCAATATGTTTTAGATGTAGATGCTTCTGACATCGCTGTTGGAGCGATTCTCTCTCAATGTAAAGATCCCTCTTCTCCTTTACACCCTGTTGCCTGTCACAGAAACTTACACCTGCTGAAAGGAATTACAGCGTTGGAGAGAAGGAATTACTTTCAATTAAAGTCGCTCTAGAAGATTGGAGGCATCTACTCGAAGGATCTCAGATACCATTTATCATTTTAACGGACCATAAAAACCCTGAATACATCTGTTCTGCAAAACGTCTAAATCCTAAGCTTGCAAGATGGTCACTCTTCTTTGAACGTTTCGACTTTCATATTACATATCGTCCTGGAGAGAAAAATGGAAAAGCAGATGCCCTTTCTCGTTCCTTCGAAACAACTCCCTTTATGGACGATTCAAATATAATTCCTCCCTCAAAAATAATTGGCTTAATGTCGTCCTTCTCTAATGAAATCGCTTCATCTTATACTCCAGATGACCCCTCTCCTGAATTATCCCTGCAAAGAAAAAAAGGACTATGGTATAAAGATAATTTACTGCAAGAAACATCATTTTATCTTATATACATGACAATCCACTTACAGGTCATCCAGGGGTGAAAAGAACTCTTCAATTATTTAAACAATATTTTGGTGGCCTTCTTATTTTAAAGTTATTAAAAACTACATCTTGAGGGGGCGGGGCCTGAATGCCAAAATGGCCAGTCGAGCTTTCTGAGAGCTCCTACACCAGTGTGCCCAAAAACGCTATTTCGGACTAAGCCAATAAACCTAACAGCTCAAGGTGCCCGAGAAACGAAAAACTAATCGTAGGGGGAACAGAGGGATACCTTACACGACTTGCTACGCCAAGAAACAGCAGTGACAGCCGTGCGGCCTACTCTGAAGCGGGACCTGGTGGGGGAGGCAGCCATTCCCCTGCCTCACACACAAGAGCCCACCACAGCCCTGCTGCCCGCCCCCCCCCCCCCTGGACCGGTGGGGGTTATCCCGGTCCTCGGTGAGGATGACTGCCCTCACAAATCAGCCTGCAACCAATTGGACTCGAGGTGCCCCTGAAACTGCCGCCACAGTAGCAGCCACACAACGCAGGGAGAGCATGGAGAGCCCGAAGGATTGCCACAGGGAACACGATGCACAAACCGCAAGGCTGGAAGCGATATTCCAGGCGTTCTGGGACAAACTTGAATGACGCATGCAGCAACAAGCCAAGCAGGAACATGGCACCCGCACCTCAAAGCCACGAAGAGAGCATAAAATGGCTGCCACCTAACGACCCCAACGCTTGAAAGGCCTACAAACCTGCCCAACCCCGCTCACTAAACAGCGGGCTCGAACAACAGACTGGAGCAGCAGACCTCCCTCAGGACGGGGAACCCGGGGAGGCCGAAAGCTTACCCAACCCACAGGTACCAGAGCCTGGAGCCGATGCGGACCCGTCTATTCACCTCATCATGGCCTCACCATGCTCTGGTCCGGCAAAAAACATCCCCTCGCTACCAACTCACTCGGGCAGAAGAGACACACATCACAGGGCCAACCACAGGCACCGAAAAGACCCAGGGGATCTGACCCGAGTCGGAAGCTACAATACCAGACGGTGGCACAAAGATGCAGAGAACATCGGGACCAGCAGCACACATGCACTCCTAAAGGAGTACTCTCGGCGCCCAGGAGCGGAGGCCTACAAGCCATGGGTATCAGCTGATCAACCTGTAATATAGACTGGCAGGGAGGTACCATGGTTGAAACGGACTCAGTCTCATATTAAAATGGTACCGCAAGTTCCCTAAACCACCACGCTGTTCCACCATGCGGAGTGGGCTGAGAACATTTGCTAACACCCCCGCCTGGACTTGCACAGTAACATGCACTGTAACCTGCAGCCTGTTCAACTACTGTGGTCCCTATGACAATGTATTTGCCTAGCGTGTCACTTACCGTCTCTTAACTACCAGCCCCAAAAGTGGCTTCTCTAGCATACTTGCACCATAGCCCTAGGGAATTAGACACATTTATATTATATAAGCTTCCTGCTCATAAAGTCACTTGTCTGCCGGACAGGTAACCTAGCACTTAATGCAAATCAGAAACGCAAGAGAATACTCTCCCCCTAGGAGCATGTAAATAGTGGACGACAATGCTTAAAGTTAGCCTGTTTAATGTTATGTTATGTAGTGTGCATTGTAGTCACCTGCTAGCTCTCACTATAGACGCTAGAAAGCCTCTGTAATTATCGTGACAAACTAGTAGTTAAGTAGCCCACTCTCGTACATAGTCATGACTATTGTGCCTCTTAGGCAAAACTCACTATGTGCTCTTAGACAGTTGCAAAAGCCTGTTTTAACATCTTATATTCATCCTGCTATTAGACTGCATCGATACCTAGCTCAGTCGGTTATTAAATGCACCTAACATGAGGTCCATATACTCTACACTTGCCTAAATCAAAAAGACAACCAAACAGGACACTCATTCTTGCCATGCACATAGCCTGAACTCACTACATAACTCACCTGCACCACATTCCTCCCTCACAAACAATGAACACTCTCATATTACTCTGGAAACACATCTGTTCAGTTAAACTTGTTTTATGTATCCTAATATAAAAACGTGCATTTACTCTTGCCACTGTTAGCCTTGTACAAAATATGTACGCTGTTGTGGCGTTTAAACTTACAATGTAATTACCTGCACAACAAAAAATAAAGAATTATAAAAAAAAAACTACATCTTAAGCTGTGAAGAATGTCAGCAGTGCTGAAACTGTCTCAAAATAAAAAGTGAGTGGTTCTTATTTTTTTTGTTTGGCATTTGTTAAAAAAAAAACATGACAGTAGTTAAGGATAGTCAAGTCAAAACCATAGAAATTGGGAGACGGTATAACTGCGCTTTTGGGACCAAACAGGAACCACAACAGACCAATGAACGGCGTGATTTCAGCAATGATGTAAAATGACACTTGGCTGGATCTCTATAAAATGCTGCTGGTATGGAGCGTGGAACCTCATTATGGATGTGGAGAGATTGTGTGGCATCAGAGTGAGTGCAGTAATGACTCATGCGGTGATGTGTTTCAACCACACACTGGTAACCTTGCACTAGGGACACCATCCCTGTAAATATTGAAATTTTACCAATAAGAAGAACTCTTTCAGGTCAAGTGTAACTGGGCAGAAGTTTCACATTATAGCTCACATCGATTAGAGAATAGATTTGTGGTGTGTTAGATTTCTTGTGCAATACATGGGCAAAACTGAAAGAAAATTGAAAGACAGAATTAGCAAACATCTTTCTGTATTGCATTGAGAGTTATTGCAATAACATTTCTGTCAGAAGACATTTAATATGAAACGGTGTCAATTTATTCTGCTTTGATTTCTCGGATATTGATTGGGTTGATGATCTATGCCGCATTTTATCCAGGAGGGAGATGTGAAGCTCCACTCTGACTTGGCCACCATAAGCTACAAAAGCGATATACCTAGCTGAAAGAACAAGTGATCAGCTCCCATGGACAAGAAAACCTAAAAAAACACCCCAAAAAGAGTCCAGACCCGGGGGCCAACCTGTTTGCGGCCTCTCAGACCTTGCTGACAGGACCACAAGATTGCAGCGGCTCCACCTTTCCCACTGCCTCCAAACCACACTGCACAGACATGCTTACAGCTGGGGACTTGACTCACCTGATGCGGCCTGGATCTTACATACCTTGGCCGAGATGAAGTCCTTCCTCGCGCGCAAAATTATGCTCGCCATCTGTGTCTTGAGGGATGAGATACAGACCTTGAGTGCGCGGACGGCAAGACTGGAGCAGAGGTTGGAGACCACAACGGAGGCGCATAATGTCGCAGCAGTACGGGTGAACTCCCTCACGGCCCATGTTCTGTCGGCAGAGCTGGCAATTTAAGATATGAGCAACCGATCCAGGCGCAACAATTTGCGCATTCGAGGCCTACCTGAACACCCCGTTATACACCCACTGGAGAACCTGGTGGTGAGCATTTTTAAACTGCTAATCCCGGACGTCACTGAAAATTTACGGCACGTGGAGCAGGCTCATAGACCTCTCCGTGCCAGGCGAACCGTGACACGGAGGTGCTGACTCATATATCTCACGGGGTCTGGGTGTCAGGATTACTGTTTGATCCAGCACGTAGAACTGTACAGCACGGATGACAAATAAGTAACGTATTATCGGTCCTTAGAATGGCCAGATTTAACGTACAAAGAATAGTCAAAAATACTAGCCGAGGTCAGGGAACACAGAAAGGGACACAGCGATGAGGAAAGCCAGGAGTCAGGATACCAGAATATAGAGAAGTCAATAAACAAAGCCAAAGTAAAAAAACAGGTAGAAAACTATAAACAGGAACGCGCTCTCAGACAACCACAAGGGAAACCACGACAGGGCACTGAGCAGGCTGAGAACTGGGCCTAAATACCCCTCCTTTGGTTCTGATAGGCTGTAACCGGCCTTTGACCCCAAAGTCAGTTACCAGGTTTCATTTGCATAATTGCTGCTCAGCATTAACCCTTCTGTGGATTAGGTTGCTGCTCGGCACAACTTTTCCTGTGTGGACAGTAAATGTCATTAACCACTTTTCTATAAGCGGATGAATACATGACACCAGGTTTCATTTGCACAACTACTGCTCAGCATTAAACATTCTGTGGATTAGGTTGCTGCTCGGCACAACTTTTCCTGTGTGGACAGTAAATGTCATTAACCACATTTCAATAAGCGGATAAATATGTGACACTGGGAATGTGTAAGCCTAGACAGTCTTCCTTTTCTCTGTTTTCCTTTCTCTGTCTTTATCTTTTTCTTATCCTTTTTCAATTCCTTTTAAGGGATCGCTGGGGGGTATGGGAAACAGTGGGGTGTGGAGGGGTGCCCGAAACGCTTTATGATTTGACGGAAGTAAAGACTTTTAATATGACTTGTTTTTCTAAGACTACCATGGTGACCGACATTAGCAATCCACAGTGGTGGGAATCATTGCTTTGAAGATTGCTTCATTAAATGTTAAGGATCTCAATGCTCCTAAAAAACGGTGTCTCATGTTTTGTGAGCTTGGGCATGTGCACTCAGACATAGCCTTTCTTCAGGAAACACACTAACAGACACATACAGTCACTAGCAGACACACACATTCACTAACAGACATGCATACACTCTCACTAACAGACACACACATAATAACACACTCCCTAATAGACACACTCCCTGACATACACACACTCACACTCACTAACAGACACACACACTAACACACTAACACTCACACACTAACAGACACACACACACTAACACACACACTAACAGACACACACTCACTAACAAACACACACTCACTAACAGACACACACACTCACTCACTAACAGACACGCACACACTCACTAACAGACACACTAACAGACATACACACTAACAGACACACATACACACTAACACACACACACACTAACAGACACACACAAACAGACACACACACACTTTTTTTTTAAAATTCAATCCCCCCAGCCTCCTTACCTTTGGGAATGCTGGGGAGGGGGGGTTCTCCCTTTCCCTGAGGTGCAGTGAGGCTGCTGGGCGGGCGGGCAGGCTGCGCTGGCGAGGGGGCACTGATTAGTGAGCTCTCTGCTCAGCTCCCTCGTGCACCGCAGAGTGATGCTGGGAGTCGGAATATGACGTCATCGCAGAGACAGCTCACTAATCAGTGCTCCCTCGCCAGCGCTGACTGCCCAAATGAACGACCGGATTTTTAGTTAGCCACCAGGCTAACAAGGCCTTGTTTGCCTCGTGGCTAATACGTCCAACAATAGGTTAGCCAACAAGATTCAATCATTACCGCATGGTATACTGATACTGGGAGGGGATTTTTTTTTACATTTTTTTTATTTTATATTTTTGCAGTGCATAAGATAGGTACAGACAGGCTCAAGGTACCCCAACGGCAATCCTCTTTCGACATATCAAGCTTACAACAGGGATAGTAGATTGGACGTGCACAATCTTGTATTATAATAATCAACAATTAATAACAAGATGAACATGAGCTGTTTATCAGAATATTGTCGAAGAAGTGACACTGCGCATCTTAGGACACATAACTGGCTATGCATGTAGGAAATAGCTCATAGTAGAGCAGTGATGTCAGGTTTAAGTAGACAGCTTGTTGCATAATCAGTGTCATAAATACGGAATAGATCGTAATAAAGGGGTGAACTATTATTAAAGGGACATTAAGTCCACCATTTGCAGGTTATAGGTAAGTTATTGCAGTATGCTCATTTTAGTAAGTATGCCCCAGGGCGATTAATATATTAAACATGATAAACTGTGCCAAGGCGATAATTGAGAGTACCCCCCTAGGCCACACTCCCTAGAAGCATAGCTACATTGCCCATGGAAGCACAAGATTTCCCGCTAGAGCAAAGTTAGAGTTAGTTAGAAAGAGTATTAACGAAGTACGTGAAAAGAGTACAACAGAAGAAACACTTACTCTATTAAATTAAATTCCCACAGATCAGTAAACTGAATGGTTAAGGCATTTAACCCCCAGGACTATACTCTCTGAATGTTAGCTGCATTACTCAGATTATTCCGCTTTAGTGCCATCTGGTGGCACTTATCCCATTAAGAATCTCGGTACCTTTTCTCAGTATGTGGAGACAAAAAATGGTACAGTAGAGAATAATCTAGTGTAGTATATCTGGAATAGAGGTGAGTAATATGTAACTTTAAATGGATGCTCACCTTATCCAGAGCCCAAGTACATGGCTCTGGTTTAAACAGCTTAGGTGTCTATAGAGAGGACACCTCTCTTCTTAGAGCAGACTTAGGAGAATCAGAAACGGGCTTGAGTAAAAAATAAAATTTATTCCATAAATTAAAAATGAGAACAATAATACAAATAAATAAATGAAGAAAATGTCCAACAAGATTCCTCCTTTCCGAGACGCATTTCACCCTTCCTGAGGGCTTTCTCAATCTCAATGTCTGGTAAATAGTACACTAGATGGATGGACTAGGACGGAACAAAAATTACCTTAGCAGATAGACGTGCCATGGCCCAGGACTGGCTCAAGCCCACTACCGACTCTATCTCAACAGTAATGGACAAAATAGAAGACAACTACCTTATGGATAAATTGACGGCACAGGTGAGGAACTCTATACCTAAGTTTGAAAAGATCTGGGAACCCTGAACTGAAAGTGAGTACGTTGACTGACTGAAATGTTACTTGTTTAAGTTTCAACGAGCTGTTCTGCGGGAGCTCCCTTCCATCTGCCTCCCTCCTGCCTTCCCCTTTTTAATGGGTATAACATGGTAGAAGACTTACCTCTATTGGCGACCACCTTTTCTTTCTTCTTCTCCATCTCCTCTTTCTTTCTCTTGGTTCTTTTTATTGTTTATCCTCTGCAGACTCCCCTATGACGCATTCTAGCCGAAGATATCTCCACAGGGATATGAAGCAAAGTTTTTTGTTATTTTTTAAATTCCTTGCTCATAATAGTTAGGCTCTTTATCTAGCCCAACAATGCTTATCCAAATACTGATGTTAAGTCTATCAAAGGCGGTATGGGGAGCTTTATATGATTACATTAACGAAACTCTTTCCTTCATTTTATATATATTATAATAAAAACCTGACGGGGTTGTTAACAAAAAGCCTCAGGAGGTTCAGATAATTACCGGTATCTCATAGCTCGCTTTATTTAGCGTTCCAATTTGTTAGATAAGATGCTGATTCTTGAAATATGTAACACTGTCCATATCTTGTTTTTGATATGGTGAACCTTTGTATAATGTGATATATGTACTACTCTGCCAGTCAAAAATAAAGAATTGAAAAAAAATATATAATCTCTATTCCGATTAATAAATTATTGATAAACTATATTACTGCTTTATAATGTTGTGTGTCATCTTATAGCTTCACAGTATTAATAAGATAATATAGACTTGCCAGAGTGATGTATTTTAAGCACTTACCTCATTTTTCAGTGTGTGGGTATAAAATGTTATTCTGCCCTTAACGCTCTTCATACTGTAGTTTGGCTTTTTACAATAAGAAAATGTTTGTTTCCATTTATTTATTTTTTTCAAGTATATCTGTAATCTTACTTGTCTAGCAGTGTAGCATGGACAATGTTTGTATGTGTTGGTGCTTGCAATGGGAGAGGCAGAATGTACAATGTACATTTAGAAGTACATTGTATCACACTATACTGCTAGTTGGTCACAGTGAGCCCTCTAGTGTTAGCCTTGGGATACATAGACATCCTGTGGTAAAGTGCTTCCTCTGTATCTTCCCCAAATTTAGTTAACTTTTCACCTTAACAGTGTAGCCTGATTGCTGACAATTTCTGCATATTTCAGAAGTGTATCTAGAGCAGTAGTAATCAACCTTTTTCTACCTACTGCCCACTAATGCATCTTTCTTGATGGAAAAATGTGCTTACTGCCTACCAGTTTTCGCGCAAGTGCAGGATATTTTTTAGAATAGAGGGTGTTTTAAAAAAATAAATGTACGTACATTTATCTTTTTTTTTCTACTTTATGCATGTTTATAATGTTTGTTTTTTTTAAATATGATTTTTATTAATGTATTTGCAACGTATTTTCAACAAAAATAGGCAAGGGGTGGGGGGATGGGACTCGCAGGTCCCTGGAAACAACAACATAAAGTATTTGCTTTTGGGCTCGCAGGCCCCATTGAACGATGCGGACTCGCAGGTCCCACGCATTCCAAACAGCTAATAATGAGTACCTTTGTCCCATGTGTTGCACTCATGAGCAAGGCATAAAATAAGATACGAAGGTCCCTAGGTATCCTAGTCAGATGGCTCATAACTTGAAAACGTAAACTATCAAAAGAAAACTAGTATCGAGTGGACAGATAGAGGAGCACAAAACATTGTGTTCCGATAAAGTAATGTCAGTTTGTCGTGTAACATGTCTGAGTTGCGGGATTACGGCCGTCAGGCCGTCCCTAATTCTGTCTGCAGTCGCTTGCCGGAGTTCAGGTGGTGAGTGTAGTAGCGTGTGGGTACCCTAAGCCGTTAGATGTCGGCGTGTGTGTGTGTGTCCGTGTGGTTGGGGGAGGACCGTGTCCCTTCGTTTGTGGGGTGTATTGACTTAGCTTCCCTGTGTGGTTATCGGGTAACATGTGAGGGTAACGTTCTGCTTTGACCCTGGTAGTTTCTTTGATGTGGCATGTCATGTGTGGTGAAGCTACTAGAGTCAGGGTAAGTATATCTTCTTGTGTGTGTTCCCCTTGTCCAGGCTGTTGGCACACCGTGACCCGGTCGTTGGGGTCTTTTTTTTAACCTTAGGGTATGGTACGTGCGCCGCGTTGTCACCCATGAACGTCTGTTTGTTTTAGTATGTTCTAGAGGTGGCTTGTGTGTATATTCATGTTGATCGATTCCCTTAATCCTCCCCAAGTGGTCGGGTCCTGTATGCCGGTTAGTGGGCTTGGTCCCCTGTGTCTGGTCGGTCATGTGGTGGTTTTCCTTGTGGGTGTTCCGTCTTGTGGCAGGCGTGCGCGGCCCCTACCTCACCCCTGCCCCCGCTCCGCCGGCGTGGCCGCCCGCACCCCCGGTCTCCCGTCTCTCGGCAACATGCCCCACCCACGGCCCCCATCGTTCCACGTATTTTTCACTTTGTCCCATGAGAGACGCCCTCATCTTTTCTGCGGAGCGGATCTCCTCAACTCTGTCGTACCATTGGGTTAGCGTTGGTGGCTGTGTCTGTTTCCACATCGCAGGTATGAGTGCTTTAGCTGCATCCAGCATATGTCGCAATATGGATTTTTTGTATTGTGAGATTGGTTGTGGGGTCGAGTGTAGTAAGTATTGTTCCATGTTGAGGGGGAACGGTTCTCGGAGGATCTCAGTGATTTTTGTGCTGATTTGGGACCAGAACGGCTGTATGATTGAGCAGTTCCACCAAATGTGGCTGAGGGTACCTTCCTCCTCTCCACACCTCCAGCATATGGATGGGACATTGGGAAATATCTTATGAAGACGTGTTGGGGTTTTGTACCATTGTGATAAGAGTTTGTAATTGACTTCTTGATATCGGGTGCTGACCGAAGATTTATGGTGTAAGATGAGTATTTTTTCCCATTGGGTGGGGGTAAATTCCTGGTTTGTGATGCTTTCCCATTGCGTCTTAAATGTGACTATTTCTGTGCGGTCACCTGTGAGGACGTATTGGTAAAGGTATGAGATCGCTTTGCCTAAACTCGTTTTGGTAAGACACAATCTCTCAAATTGCGTTAGGGCCCTGTGTAAGGCTGTTCTATCTCTGAATGAATGGTAGAAATGTTTTAGTTGAGTATAGCGGAAGACTTGCTGTAGGGTCGGGGTTTGTGTATTGATGGTTTATAATGTTTTTAACTTTATGAAGTTTAATGAGAAAACAAAGTAAATTGAAATTACCTTTACTAGTGATTAATGAGATCCTTGAGGTTGATGCTGCGAGACTAAATATTTGATATCTGGTTCGATTTTCGTAAGGAACAAAGGTCTCCTCTTTCGGTGATATTCAGACGATTTCTCTGTTTGCTCATAATATGATTTCTCATCTGTGCATCAGCTCCCCTCCTCTCTCCTAAATTCACCTCTCCACCTTTTCCCCCCCTTTGTTTCTATTTTTTAACCTTCCTTATAGCAATTCTCAGTAGGAAGGCTGAGCTAGTTAGCCCACTTACTATTATTAGCCAACAACAATTCTCTCCTTTTCCTTATTTCTCCTTTTTTACAAGTACTCTACTCCTTCTTTCTCCTTTTTACAAGTACTCTGCTCCTTGTTTCTCCTTTTTACAAGAACTCTGCTCCTTCTTTCTCCTATTCTACAAGTACTCTGCTCACAGACAAACACATACACACACACACACACATTCACAGACAAAAACACTCACACATACACTTACAGACACACACATTCACACAAACATACACTTACAGACACACACACACATTCACAAATACACTTACAGACACACTCCTACCGGGAGAGCTGGTGTGGATCTGTCCCTGGGGTCCAGTGGGGCTTCACTTCGGCAGGCGGCAGAGTTCTAATCCGAGGCGGCGAGCTCTAACCTCTCTGCTCTGCTCCCTCGCGGGCTGTCTACTGATGCCAGGAGCCGGTATATGACATCATATTCCGGCTCCCGCGGCATCAGCAAACATCACGCGAGGGAGCAGAGCAGAGAGGTTAGAGCTCCCTCGCCGCCTCAGATTAGAACTCTGCCGCGCCAGGGGGTCCAGAAGGTGGCCTGGCAGGAGGGAGTGCTTCCCTTCTGCCGGTCACTGAAATCTTGCGCCCCCAAACCACTCGCGCCCGCCCGCTCTTAAAAGGAGAAATCCTCTCAAAAAGAGGATTTAGCCGCCAAAATCCCTACCGCCCACCTGGAATCCTGAAACGCCCACTAGTGGGCGGTAGGGACCAGTTTGACGACCCATGATCTAGAGTGTCCTTTCAATTTGTAGTGGTGACCAGAGTGTCCTTTAATGTAACCCTGTCACCTAAAAAAATCTTTCCATAAATCAGTTTAACACAATAATGTGTTATAATTAAAGCTTTTTTCATTTAGTTAGCTATTGGCTATTTACTCGTAAGTTACATAAGAGACATGTGTCCATCAAGTTCAGCCTTTCTCACATCTTTTTTTGCTGTTGATCCAGAAGAAGACAAAAAAAACACCAAAAAACAACAGTTTGAAGCTCTTCCAATTTTGCAACAATCTAGGGAAAAAAATCCTTCTTGACCCCAGAATTGAAGTCAATCTCTCCTCGGATCAAGAAGCTATTACCCTATAATTAAAAAAATATATATCCCTAAATATTATGCTTTGCAAGTATCCATCCAGTTGCTGTTTAAAAATCTGTACAGATTCTGATAAAACCACTTCGTCAGGCAGAGAATTCTACATCCTCATTGTTCTTACTGTAAAAAGAAAACCATTTCCTTTGCCTTAGACTAAACCTCATTTCTTCCTGTCTAAATGCATGACCTCATGTCCTATGTTTAGTCTTGTTTATGAATAGATTTTCAGACAATGGTTTGTATTGGCCCCAAATATATTTTATATTATATTTGTATAATGTAATCATATCCCTCTGAGGAGCCATTTTACTAAACTAAAAAGATTTAAATTGATTAACCTTTCTTCATAATCAAAATCTTCAATTCCTTTTATTAATTTTGTAGCACGTCTCTGCAATTTTTCTACTGCCATAATATTTTTTTATTGCCCCAAATTGCACAGCATACTCTAATCGTCTGGTACAATTTCTCAATGTAAAGAATCTTGAAAGATTAAAAAGAGGTCCACTGGCATTTATGCTTACAGTGATGTCAGTGTTTTTTGTACAGGTGGCTATCTTGCAATTGGATCACAATTTTTCATATCCTTAATGAAGATTACAGTTAAAAAAAGACATGTGCTGAGCGAGTTCCTGAGCTTTTGAAAGAATAATTCCCTTCAGTCTACAGATCTTGCCACAAAACCACTTTTACCTTCAAGGGGGCACCTTAGTGAATTGGGAGATACCATATTTAATGCCTTCCTCACTCGGTTTTCTCAGATTGAGATTATTGCGGTCTTCAAGCGGGGCTTGGCGTGGGAGAGGTGTATGCACTCCTGATGCTTAATCTGGCTTGTCGGATCTAGCTTATCTGCCCCCCCTCTGAACCTTGGACTGGTGGGGGCTATCCAGGTCCCAGGAGCCCATCTTATGCTACAAGAAACATACAGTTCAGATGGGCCAACATTGCTCCCAATATGGCGGTCGTCGAAGCCAGACTCAAGCGCAACATTTATTACAGTTTTACTGTCTAGGCTGGACCACATCTTTGCAAAATTCCTGTCAAGTATAGCAGCAAGGTAACGGAGAATACAGCCTCCTTATACCGAGTCACCACATGGTAGAGAAGAAACCTACATATATGTTTGTGAGGACTACTACTCTGGGGCCTGTGATTAGACAGAACAGTCAATTGGAATCTCTCCTTTAATGGTGGATGCAGGCGGGATCTGATCCTGCCAATATTTCTGGACCTGGAGTGCTCAGGACTGAGATTGTGGATGTTTGGAGTCAGGCTTGGGCCCAAGGTCCCGGGAGTGCCTTCTACATTGCCCCCCCAAGATGGTGACTGCAGCTTTTTTTCTCATCTCAACATGTATTGACTATGATGCTGTGTGTACTCAAGATATATATATATATATATATATATATATATAAGCATACCAATGCTGCCTTTTATATCTGTGAACAAAACTATTTTTTTTTCTAAATATTGTTTTGGTGACTACAGTTTCCCTTAAATTCGCTGCCCCTTTGTTTTACCTCCTTTTTGCATTTGGGGATTTGCGGGGTACAAGATCATCAAAAATCAAGTGCAGTGCCCCTCAATTTGTAAGCTGCTGACCCAGTTGCCATAAGTAAAATGTATGGACTGTAAATCAAATCCACTGCACTCCACTACCCTGGGATTTCCAAAAGCACTATTCAATTTTGAGTACACTCCCCTTTTTAGAACACTGCGCTCTAACCTTGCATCCTGGGACACCAAACTGATATTATGGCTTGGAAGGATACATTTTGTTAAAATTAATCATCTTCCACAGTTCTTAATTCTGTTCCCGGCTTTGCATGTGGTGGTCAAGAAACAGAATTTGGATGGACTGCAATCCTGCTCCAAATTTATATGGAACACTAGAGAACATAGAATTGCTAGAAAACTACTTTAGCTGCCCAGACAAGTGAGAGGATTTGGACTTCCTAATCTATTAATGTATAACTATTTACCGCAATTGGCGTAGATTGTAACCTGGTACATCCCTCCAGCAGTAAGGTGTGTCGATCTAGAATTGTCCTTATTGTTCTCAGATCTACCCCAATTCTTCATTTCGCTTGACAAAAATCAAAGTGCATTGTTGATTATTGACTGTCCTGCTAACTCATTGACAATTTAATACCGTATGCGTGGTAAACTCTCCTTGTGTGCAGTTTTGTTCTCCAATGGTATCCCCATGGAATGCCTGGCAGGTATTTTGGTAACTTGTAGAAAGCTGGGATTCAATGTTACAAGCAATTGTGAATGTTAATAACATTATTAGTTTTGACGACCTTCATCAGGCAGGACAACTGACTTCTCGAGAAGGATAATCTGGAATGGGTCGCACGCAAAAAACTTACCTTTTTAGAGTCACTTTGCAAAATGGAGACCAGACAAAGGGTCTGATCACCACAATTTACACTTTTATTTGTTCTAATTCTATTTTTGGGGTGCTCTGACATACACTTAGCAATGTGAGATGGACCTGAATGAGGTTCAGGAGGGAGATTACCAGCGCCGCTGTGTCCATGACCCTCCAAGAGCAGATGTTTAAGCTCTTGTTTCTGTGGTAACATACTCCAGTCAAGATGTCCCACATGGATAAACTCTTAGATGACTTGTGCTAGAGGGGTTATGGATACAGATGTACATATATCCACAGGTGGTGGACTTAAATTGCAGCTCTATTGGTTTCATATTAAACACCAGTTGGAAAAGGTATTTCAGAGACAATTTGATTTAGATCCATGGTCTTTTTTTTGCAGTCTAGGTCCCTGGATGGCTTCCCTAGCCACTCCCAGAAACTCTATAATAAAATTACTCTTGCAGCCAGACGAATGATGGCAACTCAATGGCTAACATTTTTTAAAATCATCCAGCATGGAGACCTGGGGGTGATTGCTTTATCTTTTTTTATTTATTTATACTCTTTCTCTGGTTCTTTCTCACCTTTCTGTATTATTATTTTTTCTCCCCCAGAGTTGTGTGCATTATTCTGACATTCTATTCGTTAAATTTAGATAGAACTGTATGGAACTTTTACCAATGACATTGTATTGATAGGAAGTGTATATTACTTCCTATCACTTAACAGAACATTATAGTCACCAAAACAACTTTAGCTTAACCCCTTAAGGACACATGACATGTGTGACATGTCATGATTCCCTTTTATTCCAGAAGTTTGGTCCTTAAGGGGTTAATGAAGCCATTTTAGTGTATAGATCATGCCTCTGAAGTTTCACTGCTCAATTATCTGCCATTTAAGAGTTAAATCACTGTTGTTTCAGCCCTAGCCACACCTCCCTTAGCAGTGGCTGACACAGCAGACATGAAAAATGGTTTCAGTTTCAAACAGATGTTGCATACGTTAAAAGTTTAAACACACACAGGAGGCTTCTGCAGGGCCTAGCAAGCTATTAACAGAGCAGGAGATAAGAAATTCTAAATTAAACAAGAAAGTAAATTTAGGAATTAGATGCATCTTTACAGGAAGTGTTTAGGAAGGCTGTGCAAGTCACATGCAGAGAGGTGTGGCTAAGGCTGTATAAACAAAGTGATTTAACTCCTAAATGACAGAGAATTGAACAGTGAGACTGCAGGGGCATGATCTATACACCCAAACTGCTTCATTAAGCCAAAGTTGTTTTGGTGACTACAGTGTCCCTTTAAATAAAGAATTTTTAAAGAGCAAGACAGTGGAGAACAGATGATGTCATCAGCCAATTATGCATCTGCAGGGAAGTTCTCAGCATTGTACTTTACAGGAATCAGGAAAATGTTCTTTACATGTTCTTATGGTGCTCTGTAATTTCTGTGCCCAAGAGTTTTTGGGAATCACTTGTTTGAAAAGTGTAATAAAACTATTGAACACATTTAAAAATGCTAAAATGTACAGATTGTTTTTAACATATTATTTTATAGTAAATATGGTTTATGGTTGTGCATAGACTATTTCTAAAAGATAAATTTTTAAGGGGCAATCCAAGACCTGTCTGTTTTTTTAATGCCATTGAAATAATTAATAGTTATTCATAAATATATATTCATAATCATTTTTTTTTTTAAATTAAATTATTTTCTGCTGTAAATACAATGGTATTTGCAGAAAGCATTTCATGACTGATACTTCTTGCCCAATACTTGTGCTCCCATTGATTTCACTCACTTTTTTTGTTGTTTTCAAGAGCAGAAAATAAGCTGCAAAACAATAGGGTGGAACTAATGACCTAGTGTTTTATTTATTCTCAGGTGCATCTCATCTCACCCTTTATATATAATTTTGGATCCCTTGCTTCATATATTTCTCCTATGCCTATAAGGTTTGGGCCTCTGCTAAGGGCCTCAGAATTATCATCACATCAACTGTAACTAGGCCCTTCATGATCAGGGATCACCATCGATCCATCATGCCCTAATGATCCAACTCCAGATCCATTACCTGTATGCTTTAAATCAGTGTTCCCCAACCCAATCTTCATGGCCCACCAACAATCCAGTATTTATGTATTTTCCTGTTTTATTCCAATGAAGATACTGACAAAACCTGGACTGTTGATGGACCATGAGGACTGGGTTGGAGAACACTGCTTTAAACCACAGCTGCCTGTAAGATTGACTTCTTGTCTTCTTATTGTGGGATGGTATGACTGCTATGGGGCATGCGCCCATTCAATTATATTCCAATGGATTACTAACCAATGCAGATGTAATTTAATGCTATGTTAGAGAGACCATTGCTATTAAATCATAGTTATTTGAAGACTCCATACTGCATAGCTAGCTATTACGAATAGTTGGGGCGGGTGCTTCCCAATAAAATTACATTTCAGAATACCCTATATATTTATAATTATGGCCTTCTAGTTTTACTTTATGGGTGAGTAAATAATCCAGTACAGATTTACTGAATTATTTCACCCTATGCATGTTTTCCTTGAAATATAATATGAGCCTAGGACACCTTATTTCGGGGGGTTTGTTTTAGAAAACATAGCTATAAATTAAATAGAACTGATAGAACTGATGCAATAAAACATCACAATAGCAAATACGAAATCATGACCAACAAATAAAGATATAAAATGTACATCAGATTTCACAATTTTAGTCCTTAGTCATAGAAAGGTTCGAACCAGGAAGGAGTATACACAAAATTAGAGTGAATGTGTTAGGAGTGAACGAAAGATGAATTAAACAAATTGTGGGATAGATCAGATAGTATACAGTGATTTCCCTCATCTATAATGCTGCAGTGAGCAAGCAATCATGTCTGATAAATCTCCAGTTATCACCCGCCTCTAGAATAAGAGGCTTATTTTAATATGATCTGGGGCGGCTTGCTATTAAAACCACGTTACCCGTTTTTTTTTGTTTTTTTGTTTACAATATACACAACGGCCTTCATTATAAAACAAAACAATAAACCGTGACAAACTGAAACCAAAACCGAGCATTTTACGCCGAAATTCCATAATTATAAAAAGCAACTAAGCGGCTCTTGCTTCGATTGGTGTCAATTTTGCAACCAAGTGCCTTTTCGTGGCAATTCGCTGCTGAGTGCATAAAGCGCTATGGAATCTGTTGGCGCTATATAAATGGCAATAATAATAATAATAATAATAATAATAATAATAATAATAATAATAATAACTAGTACATTATAAATAAAAAGTAACGCCTGGGATGTGACAATGCACACGTGACACTAATTAATTAATTTTTTTTCCCCATGAGTTTGGTATTGTGCCCGCCTCGCCTCGTATAGCGTGCGTTACTGATTTACTGTTTGCACTATGTATTATTATTATTATTATTATTTATTATTGTGTATTAGTTTATCAGGGGGATATTGGCTGAGATGTGACTGCTCATTACTGGGAGGGACCCTCTCCCTGCACTCCCACCCAGCCCATTGGCTCTGTCTGCACACTCCTCCTCCACTGCAAGGCATTCTGGGAGAGGAGGGGGATTCTTTTCCCATGAACCTCCCTCATGGGGAGGGACACACTGACTGCCAGCCAATTCCCCAGAAAAACACTAGGAGGGACAAGCCCTGCCCACGTCACGGACCTCCTCAGGCGGCCGTCCAATCAGATATCGGGGAGGAAATGAGATCACGGTATCCATCCGCGCCGTGTGCCCCGTGTTCCTCCGCGCCGTTCGCCCCTCTTTGTACGCAGCGCGCTTGGCAGCGGGTGTGATCGGGCGGAGGGATCCCCGGGGAGGGACTGGCACTGTGACCGAGGAGGGGGATCCCGTAGGAAGAGGTGAGCAGCCGGGATACGGCGGAGGAGGGAGCTTGGGGGATCCGGGGAGCTCTTGAGAGCAATGGGGTGATTGCCAGGCCGGGATGTAACCCTCCGCCGCCGCGGCCATGTTGATCTGACGGACTATTTTATGAGGAGGAGCATGGTTTGGGGGCACCCAGAGGAAGGTGAGGGTACCCTGGGTGTGGGTGTGATGCTCCATGGGAATATCAGCACCTGGGGAGGGAACAGCATCCTCCTGCTGGGGGGTGGGAGAGGGACAGCTAGAACAATGCTTGGTGCCCCCAGATCCAACAATACCCTCCCATGGGCAACAATAGCCACCAGAGACCATTAATGGGCAGCAGGAGACCCCCCTGACAGGGGCACCCTCACACCCCATTCACACCCTATTCACACCCCAAACACCCACACATGTACCTGCCCCCAACATAAATATATTCATATATACAATACATGGCCATAGCTCTGTCAGTGTTAATCCTTGTACACAATAAATACATAAATAATTGGCTCTAATGATCAATATATTGCTGGAAACTCTTGGTAACTCTTCCCTATAAATATCTTCAAAACTATCACTGTAAACAGGGGTTTGCAGAAGATACATACATGTTAATGATACTGTATACATTCCTAAAGTAAATAATGTACATATAACATGGTGTATTTTTATTAAGTAAAAAGCAAAGAGTGAAGTCATTTCCCTATAGATCAATACAGTTTTCTTCACAGACTAATTGATTGCATTTGGATATCTTGTAATTTTTAGACATGGTACATCAATATGTACATTTTCATTCTAGAATGCTCAGGATTGTCTTTGGGTCACGCTACGTAAAGCAGCATCTCTTATTTATTTAGCCCTTGATTTCTGTATGTTTCTGGTGAATTGCATCCTAAACCCATGTGCCAAGTTGGCCTGGGAAAGTTTCGGAGGCCATGTTCTTGCCAAAAATCAATCCTCTGTGTTGTCAGATTTTGGATGTTTATTTGTGATATTTCAGGATAATATAGCAAATGGCTTCCAATGCCCTATTAGTGGATCTTGGCAGCAGAAACGTGTTTTGATTCTTATTTCCCAGTTTTATTTAGGAAATAATCTGGTTATTTAATTTTTTGAAGAACTTGAAACATAGTCCAGTCTATTAATGTATTATATATTGAAATGTATTATTTTATTTACACATACTATATAATGTTGTACACTTGTTTCCACAGATTTCCAGGAAAGGAGGACTGTCAAAGGTTTGAATATCTTCTTTAGGATAACCAATTAAAAAAAGGTATTTTATTAATCAGATATTGGCATGCAAGACGGGGCAGTCGTCCCCTGATTCTGGGTGTGTTATAGTGCATGTTTATCTGCTTTACAAAGGTAGTCACATTTCCAGCTAATGTACATAAGTCAGAAGTTCGATCTTTAATGGATTTCATTCTCCAAGGTTTATTGGAAACTCACCAGGAAATTGAAAATTTTAGGTCAATATAGCAAATCTGGAGAAATATTGGATTTTGGTCTAAAATTTGCAATTCACTGGTAAATTAGTGACAATTTATTGTTTAGTAAATTTGGCAGCAATTCAGCCATAATGGTGTTTTATGTGTTGAAAGTTTTGAAGAAATCACTTGCATACCCTTTTCCTCTCCACCTTTCTAACAGCCATATATGCATATTTGATCATATTGTTGGTTATTTCCCCAAATGCTCACTACTTTGCAATCACACAGTACTTTTAAAAATCCCCTTTCTGAAAATGCTGCAGGCAAAATGAGCAATGTACAGTTGCAAAATATTGAGCATTTGGCTGAGAAAACTGACAATATGATTGAAGGTGCATAAAAATGACTTCTGAAAAGACATGATTTCTCACATTTCAATATATTGTTATTAAAAAAAATGGAAAAATGCATGAGACTACCAAATCCTTATGTATTTTGTTTTTATTTTAATATCTTTTGGCTTAATTTAAAGTAACTCACTCTGCAAGAGTTTTTCATCAAGTTATGATGCTGTTTAGCATTTTAAAATTCATAGCCATCACACCTATCCGTTTGCATAGTGACATCTCCATAACTTGCATCTCTCCCTCGAGGCGGAGACAATCAATGGCAAGGAGCATATTAAAGTGGCACCGTCACTGTTTAGGTACTTTACCGAATTTGCAAAGTCCCCCGACCATGACATTGCCGCTAGTGTTTCAGTGGCTGGGGGCGTGGTCATTTTGATCCGAGGGATCCTCCGTAGACGCAACCATTTCCATGCAGCCGTCATTGGTGACGGCTGTCTGGATTAACTCTTAGACTTTGCCTTGAGTCTAAGAAAGTCAGGCGAAGGAGATATACAGAGACAAAGTAATCCCTAATTTGTCTCTGTATATCACTTTACTGGGTTGGAATGTCAGTGAAATTCCAACAGTCATAATGAATATTTCATAAAGATTTTATCTTTATGAAATACTCATTTGGGGGGGGGTGACAGTGCTGCTCTATAGAAAAGTGGAGAAACAGTGCAATGTGTTCATTGGCTATGCTTGACCTAGATTGTGATGGCAAGTGCTAATTCTTTACAAACTTTAAGGGCATTTCAATTCTATTTAGCTAATGTGTAGGTTGTGAGAATAAAACTATTTAAATATGTCTTTCTCTCACCTTTCAATCAATTCTTCAGCATAGACTCTGTTTGCTAACAAAAGAGAGCAAAAGAGACCTCACACAGGCGGTCATTCTCGCAATGCATAGCGAGCACTGTGGCCACAATAACTTGCTAGTCGACCTTGCTAGCACTGGTTAGGGTAGTGATTTCCAAAACAGTCCTCAAGGCACACATCTAAGGTGTTTTTAGATAGAAAAAAACAAACACCATGACCCAACTGGTAATCCCTAAATCCTGGACTGGTTTGGAAACCACTGGACTAGAGAGTATAGGACTGGAGTACCTGACACCACTGTTCATATGCGGGCACATCTATGTCTGTGAGGACATGGCGGCGTGGTAGTGGACTGTATGCTGAGTCGTATACTTTTCAAATGAAGAGGAAATGCACACACCATTATCTGAGGAATGTTTCAAACGGACGGCCAATTCCCAAATACATCCAGTAGTTTTAGGTACAAATGTCTGGGCACATTTGCCTCTTTTAGAAAAGAAAAAAACAAACAAAAAGTAGTTTATTCAGGAGTACAGAACACAGATCGGCACCTATTTGTGCCTTTGTTAAATCTGACTGCCTCTTTAAAAAAAAACATAGGTGTCCCCAGACACTAGTACCGAAAACTACTTTATGGTGATTCATGACAGGTTCCCTTTAAAAGAAATCACATGAAATAAAGATTAACACATGTTATAGTTGATTTTCAATGACTTAAACAGTGCTGTAAATGTTAAACTGATATTTTCCCTATATAGTGTACATGTTACAAATCATGTCATTTAAAGGGATAGGCATCACTTGACAATTTTTATTTATTTATTTTTAAACAAGCTAGCAACCAATTTTAGACACATATATGCAAGCCAAAATAAAACAAGGAAACCTTAAATAAAAAAGGGGAATGTAACAAAATATCAGATTGCGATGTGAGTTAAATTTCCTCATTGTGGGTGTGGAAAGCATAAGAAGAAGTATTTATCTGCCTTTTTTCAGCCAGCATAGTGAGACAACTCATTCAAAGCTTTTAATCTAGGTATTGTGCTAGGAAAATTGCTACCAAATGTATAGATTGTTAGTCAAACCTATTTCAGAATAGTTCCTTTCTCCACTTGTCCGACAGTCACCATGGACATTGACTGACAAGAAGAGTAGGAGAGACACCTTACACGCGGTCCTCCTGCCACCCAGCACTTGTGCTGAGGTTGCTAATGTTACTCCATAGACAACACTTCAAATGCTGGATAGAAGAGTATAGGAACAGAGTAAATAATGTCACTCTGTTCAGACACTAATGCGTTGACAATGAAGCCAGCTCGTCCGCATTTGGAGAAGACTCGTGCTGCTTGTGAAAGTGACCCCAAGCAAGGCTAATCAAATCCCATTGTGGGCGGGACAAAAGTGTGGCCGGATATAGGTGTTAGAGTAAGCAGCACCCTCACAGCTGTGGTCATAGCAAAAACACCCTTAAAGAGGTGGTCATAGCAGCAATGGGCCAGAAATAAATAATACAATACAATACAATATAATTGGCAGGTTCGCTTTAAAGTGGACCTTTCACACATTTTTATTCTTTTCTTCTGCATATATTATTCTTCATAGTTATCCATCAGACTAATTGATTACTCCAGAGATATTATTTTAACTGATCCAGAATGTAGTTGCAGCAAGTTTTACAACACTTCAACATATACTTTGCATTGTGTATGGCGAACTCAAACGTGATCACATGGCTTCCAGAGGCTTGTTGTATAATAATTCAGACTTTTAAGTAGCTTGTGTCGAGCAGTCAGCCAGTGCCACAGCTAGGCCACATCTGAGAGAAATCTTAAAATCTCAAAAGCCTGCGTTAAATAAAATGGTTTCACTTTCAATCAGATGTAACTTACTTTAAAAGTTTTTATCTACTGTTCTGGAAATTGAACTTTACCTACAGGAGGCTCCTGCAGGATCTAACAAGCTATTAACAGAGCAGGAAGTGTAAACATTAGATGACACTTTACAGGAAGCGTTTAGGAAGGCTGTGGAGGTCACATGTTGGGAGGTGTGACTAGGGCTGCATAAACAGTGATTTAAATTCCAAATGACAAAGAATGGAGCGGTGAGATGGCAGGGGCCCGATCTATACACCAAAACTGGTTCATTAAGCTTAAGTTGTTGGTGACTAGAGTGTCCCTTTACGTTTCAGGGACTGAAGACACAAGAATGCAAAGCAATAAGCACACATTAACAGAGGAGTTATTGCTGCAAATATCAAAGTATCTTATACATCTGCATGGCAATGCTTCTTGGTGAAGGTAGACATCATCGAACAAGCTTTCTTTTCAAAATGTGGTCAAATTAAATTTAGAAAATACATTAAGAAACAAATAAAGCTTCTTCAACTGTTGAACCATACCTAACAAATGCTACCTTGAAGATAAAGGATATCTAGTGAAGTTCTTACATCACATCTAAATATTCAGTGTGCCAAAAATTAGAAATATGAGCTAATAGCTCCTTACCACTTTTTGTAGTGGTTTTTGCTTCTCCCCGCAAATTTCACTCTGTTCTGTTGGTTAAAGGAACACTGTATTCCTGACCATATAGTGAAAAACCCACCATTAAGGTGACTTGTCCCTCCCTTAGCCCCCTTAAAAGCAGGAAAAACTCACCTTATTTCCAGTGCCGTGCGGGTTCACTGGCACCGTCCCCTTGGTGACATAATCAAAAGTGAAAATTTCTAGCCAATCCAATGCTTTCCCATAGGGAACGGTGTTTTGGCCAATCAGCACCTCCTCATAGAGATGCAATTCAGCTTAAGCGAAAGCAATGCTTGGAAGAGGAAGTATTGAGGAGGGGCAGGCTCTTTGTGACAGCAGCAGAGAGAGAGGTGAGAAATAGCCACAATTATATATTGCAGCAGCTTTGGAAGGCAATCTGAGAAAGAGAATAGATACATTTTATTTACAGTCATAATCAAAATTATTTAACCCTCCAATTCAAAATCAGGTTTAATGTCAAAATCTACAGACTTTCAGCTGTTTGCAATGAACAAATCAAACAAAAACATTTGAAAAAGCTCAACACAACAAATGCTTCAAGTGGTTTCCAAAATTCATTTGAAAAGTCAACTTGTAATGACTTCTCCAGTCTCAAAATTATTTCACCCGGAGCATCACCAAACCACCACTATGCTTAACAGTAGGCAGAGTGTTCTTTTCAGTGTGTGTTTCTTCCTCCAGACATAGCGCTGATCTGAAATGTTCTACTTTTGTTTCATCGCTCCACAGAACAGAATCCCAAAACTTCTTTGGCTTTATTTATATAATTTTGAGTAAATTGGAGTCGAGTTTTCTTGTGCTTTTGGATCAGTAGTGGAGTACATTTTTTGAGTTCTGGTATGGAAACCTTCTGCGCGTAGTATGCGCTTTACTGTGCTCACTGAAGCCTCATTGCATGTTGCCACTTAGTCGTTCTGCAGGTCTTTTGCAGTCACTTACTTTTCACAACCTGCCTTCCCAAATCTGGTTGCGGCCATTGATCGCTTCCTTCTTCTGCCCTGTCCAGGTTGTGTAACCACTGTTCCTTCAACTTTGAACTTGTGAACTCTGCTTCCAACGGTGTCTCTAGGTACATTCGGTGCCTTCGCTATCTTTTTTGCATCCTGTTCCTTGTTTGTGAAAGGTGATGATCTCTTCTCTTAACGTTGTGGTCTTCCCTTTTGACTTAGCCATATTTCTTTTGTCAATCTTTCTTTTATTGATGCATTAGTATATGGGTACAGAATAAAGAACGGAAGACAATAATGAGTTATACACGGTGGGGGTGTCACATTGCAATACATCTTGTCTCCGAGAGTTGTCAGCCTCGTTTTATGTGTATGAAGTAAAGGAAATGCAGATGCATAACTGTGTTATTAAGGTATTAACATATTACTGGTACAACGTTTCGAACAATCCGGTCTATGTCCATACGACTTACTATTGGGCAAAACGGGTTGGTGTGATTGGAGTATAGCATATTATGTCTAAGAATAAATATAAACAGTGTGCATTAAGTCGTGTGTGCTGTGCTCCCTATGTCTATTGGCCTGCTGTCGTTCTAGGTTACGCGATATTCGATTCTAGCTTTGCATAGCATGCCAATCCTGGTGCGTGTGCTTGTGATAACTCCAGGGAAACGTGTATACTGTATCGGCTAGTCTAAGCATTTATCACTACTTAACATACTGTGTTTTCGCAACAAATGTGAGGATCAACGTTTGAGGCGTTAGTCGGGCATAGCATATGTTAGACATTCTAGTGTGGGCAGGTTTAGCTAATCCAACGCTCACAGTACACAGCAGTTCCGTTAAAAGAGTAACCGCTATGGGTCCAGTAGATTTGCACTGATAGACAGGCTACGGATCAGAGGGTCCAGTGGTAACACGCTTAGTTATCCACTAATGCTCCACAGACAGACAGAAAAACATTAAGTCCAGGGGAACGTGTATGCCAGTTAGGGGGGTTTTCGGTAGCGTCTTCCTGGACCTTTCTGGTAGTGTCCCAAGAGGTTCTCAGCCGGTAGCGAAGCTGAACGGGACCTTGGAACAGTGAGATCGCAGTCAGCCAATATCTCTGCTGGGCATAGTGGCAATTTGGGCTGGGATAGTCCATTGTGGGGCAGAGGGGCATTGGGCTTATATTTGCTGCCATCCAGCCCCAGGTCGGTGTGAAGGCCAGTACCTGCGGTCCACGGACTCTGTGTCTCAATGAGGCCGGGTCTTCCCTTCGCCGGGCGCAATGAAAAGCTTGGGTGTTGCGCCGCTTCTGGCAACATGGTCGGTACTGTGGAGGCTTACTCCTTGCAGCCTTCGGCCTGTGAAGGGTTTTGGTGTGGTCAGTGTAGCTTATTCTATGGGGTTCGCCACGTGGTGGTCACCCCCCTTTCCCTCTTCCAACATCTTGTGCCACTGCCTCAGTATGATACTGCTCTTGCCTGCTGCGGTCCTCCAGGTGTCTCCAGAACCTCTGGAAGAGCCCGTAAAGCTGTTCCATAAAGTGGTCCACTAGGTTAGTGCCCTGGCGATCGTGCTGTGTGTACGCTGGTAGTTGCCGCTCAGATGCAGGCGCCATTTTGTGAGGCCCTCTGACCATGTCGCTCCGGTTGTAGCTTGGCCCATCAGCTTGCTGAGCTGTGAGTCTGGGGCTGGTGGGTACCAAGATAACCCCCACCGGTCCATAGAGGGGGGAATTGCAGGGGCCCGTGCTGGAGTGAGAGCGTGATGTGGCCGAGAGAGAGCGGCTGTCCCTCCCCCGGCTACCCCGCTTGCAATGCTGCGGATCAGATCGCACCGCTTGGCTCCGGTTTTTGCTTGGCGATCGGCAGGATTCAGGTACCGTTGGGCGTCGTGCCGGTCAGCCCCCCTTGTCAGGTTGCTCGTTTCTGGCCTGGGGAATCACGGATGGATCGGATAATATGCCCGCCATGTTGGCTGTCAGGCCCCGCCCCCGACTTAGCCATATTTCTAACATGCAGTCAAATGTGACTCAAGCACACATGGTCAATAGTGATGTCCCGAACGGTTTGCCGCGGACTCATCATTGAGTAAACTTTGACCCTGTACCTCACAGTCAGCAGACACATTCCAGCCAATCAGCAGCAGACTCTCCCTCCCAGACCCTCCCACCTCCTGGACAGCTCACTATGAATGCAGCTTCAAAATGGATGCTGTCCAGGAGGTGGGAGGGTCTGCTGCTGATTGGCTGGAATGTGTCTGCTGACTGTGAGGTACAGGGTCAAAGTTTACTCAATGATGAGTCCGCGGCGAACCGTTCGGGACATCACTAATGGTCAACTAATGAAGCTCTTGATTAGTTGCATCAGGTGTGCTTGAGACAACATCTGTTTTGCACGTTTGTGCTGTTATGAGGAATTCTAATCAGGGGGTAGAACAATTTTGTGACTGGAGAAGTCAGTATAAACTGCATTTTTAGTTAAATTTGGGGAAACCACTTGAAGCATTCATTGTCTTGAGCTATTCCTATAGGTTTTGTTTGATTTGTTTATTGCAAACAGCTAAAAGTCTGTACATTTTGACAATAAACCTGATTTTCAATGGGGGTTGAATAATTTTGATTAGAACTGTATACAAAGCCAACATAAAGTGTTACCCACTGAAAATCTGGTTTCTGCTCTCAGTACATGGCAGATGTAATTGAAATCAAGTAGAATATGAGCTTTTTATTTATTTTTTTGGTGTGTCGTGACATTGCACTGTGGCTTATAGATATGCATAACTTAGTACATACACTCATACTGTTGAGTACATACGTAAAATGCGTTTCTTTTTATGTTCGTTATCTCAAGCTTCGGTGTACTATTGTTGGCGACACATTTTAACCAATAAACAGTGAACGATTAACCAGGCAGGAGAATGGAGACCTTGGTATAGTGCTTCGTCTGTTTTGATCGCCCTCCGCTCATGGGGAGATCGGAGCTCCGTCCAGCTTACATTCGGGCTTAGTTAGTAGGGGCGGTGTTCCCTTTCCTGATCTAGACTCCGTCCTCTCTGTCGCTGACCTTCCATATGCCTTCATGGTGCCTCTCACCAGTGCCGTGAGGTGGTCCATGACGTGGATATCTCTTATTTTGTTTATCACCGTATGGATCTGGGGGATTTCGGGTTTGAGCCATGCCTGTGCCATGGTGAGTCTAGCTGCTAAGGTGATTTTGCGTAGGAGTTTTTGGTTCTTTCCTGGCCATTCATCGATTGGCCTGGATAGCAGGCACACCCATGGATCTATGCCCACCCTTCTCTGGAACACTTTATCTAATAGGCTCCCTACTTCTTGCCAGAAGGCCTGGGCCTTCGGGCAGTCCCACCACATGTGCTTATACGTCCCTTTGTGTCCACAGCACCTCCAGCACAGTTCGTTGGGGGTTTTGCGCATGTGGTACAGCTTCACTGGGGTGGTATACCATCTGAACATGGTTTTGTATGCCTCCTCCTGCTGTGTGACACATATTGAGGTGGCCTTGTTTGCGTCCCAGATTTCTCTTCAGTCTGTGCCCTCCAAGACCTCTCCCAGATCTGATTCCCATTAAGTCGTGTAATGTAAGTCCATCCACTCGGTGTTATTGGAGCTAAGGTGTGCGTAGAGAGTCGTGATGAGCCCTTTCGGGTGGTTTTCTTTGAGACACATTTTCTCAAAGCCCGTTGGTTTAGTTAGTGCTGCCGTTTTTGCTAGGTTGTGTTGTGCGAAATCCCTGATCTGGATGAGCTTTTAATAGTATTATGAGGAGAAACACTTAATTTTATAACGTGTCAAACCAGATTGTTAGAAAACTGCAAACCTATATCTGCCATGACAGGCTCACTTTAAATGTTTGTATGAATATATTTCCAAATTATCGTCACAGGCTTGGTTGTTTCCTTTAAGCATGTTTGATTATAAAATAAGGTTATTCTCCAAAGTTAGGCACATACTCCCCTGAACAAAATACAGATGACCCCATTACGGAATTGCTTTGCTACAGTTATTGTCATCCAATAACCCCAATGCCATCCATTTAATTTAAAAAAAAAAATTAAATTTTATATACAAACTTGAAATCCTAAAGGGCCCCATAACTGCTTCATGTAATTTAAATGATTGTAGTGTCTGCAGTCCTCTGCTGCTGTCCTTTCATGCAGCTTTAAAGGGACACTCCACTGCCCCCCTCCCCCCCCCAAAAAAAGTTTAGTGTATACATATCCTGAATGAAAACATCCATGCATTTTATCATTGGGAAATCTTTTGCAAGCCCTTCTTCCCCAGCCCAGACTTTCTATGTCTGTCCAATCCCACTGCTCCCAATGCAGCTTAAAGAGAAGTCTTTGCAAAACAGGTGCTCTGGGCAATTGCTGCCTCTTGAGGTTAGCTCCACTAAACTTAACAATTATGAAGCAATTTACCTGTTGTCTGCTTAAAAGCCAGTGGTGCGCAAAGGTACATTTATAAAGGTGCCAGTTTATATTGAAATCTGCTCTTCACACTTTGTGTTTCAGCAACCTAAAGCGCTTTAGGGGTCTGGAATGACCCTTTAATTTTTTTTCAAGTTTAAATGCTAAACAAGTGTCCCCCACAAATCCTACCTTCTGTGCTGCTTTGGCTAATGAGAAAGTGTCAGCAAGAGCAACAATGGGTGGCTATGAATGGCTGAAAGTGTCAGCTGACAGCTAGAAGGAAGTGTGTAATCTCTGCCTTAGAGACACCTCTGTGGGGATGGAGCTATGGAGAGCTAGGGACCTTCACTCAGTGTTATACCATTTGAAAATTGTTTAACCACAAAATGGAGTGACCGCACCATGAGACTCCAGGCACTATAACCAATTTAGTGAGGTTAAATAGTTATAGTGCCTACATATCCTTTAAATGTGTTCTGCATTGGAGTATATCTCTGCAGAAGAGACAGCGTGTGTGTGGGTGTGGGTGTCTCTGAATAAACACAAGAGTATAATGCACACAGTAAAAAAGGAGTACGTCCTGCAGGGAGCTCCTGAAAGGGAGGGCAAATCACTGAAGACCTCAAATGGAAGAAAATAAATATCCAGGCACATCTGAGGTCTCTTCTAAAAGGGAGTCTTTTTGTTATTTTAAACAAGGAAGTGGAGACAAGGTTTCTGCTCCTCTCTGAACCTGTATCAAATCTTCTTGATAAAGGAGTAAAAACTCTTGTGTTGCGGAAGCTCATGGAAAAGCATTGAATATGATGGTTTACTATGGGGAAGCTTGGATGTGCGCACAGAACACTGTGTGCATCAAGTCCCCCATGCACCTCTGAGGAGTATTGGATTGGACCATCTGCAGAGGAGGTCATACCTCCTTGATAAGGTTGCGGGAGACGGAGAGGTGAGCAAAGCTGAGGGAGTCTCAATGATGGAAAGGAGTTTATTGCACAGTTACGGGGACCTGTATAAAGATGGGGACTAATAGAGTAAAGGTTGGTTTGTTAAAAGAGGGGCATGGCTAAAGGGCAGAAAGCAGCAAATTTGTGTTTTTTGTTTATCTCCCTTTTAGCAAAACAAACAAAAAAAATGTATGTTGGTGAAAAATACGATTTAAATATGAGTCAAAGCTGTGTTGGTGCCTGGAGTGACCTTTTTAGGTGACTTTATATTTTGAAATAAATGTGGGTCAGTAAAGTTACCGAGGTGGAGTATGTGGCCGAGCAGAGAAGGATGACTTGCAATGGGAATTAATATGGAGACATAGGAGATGTAAAAATATAGAGAATTAAAAATAGTCTTTACTGTGAAATTACTAGGAGAGTGCTGCACCTACAATATTTGGTGCGGAAAATGACTGTAAGTCTGAGACAGAAATTCATTGACACAGAAAACTGGATTTGTCGTGAAACTGCTAGCCACAAGGCCCACAGGATATCCTGAAAGCTTCATGTCATGAAAAGCCAATGAAAAGTCTGGAAAGAGAGTAGAAGGGTTGAAAGCAGTAATAACATATGTATTGGTAATTTCACAAACCTCTTTGTGCAAGGCAGGTGCATTAGCTCACTTACATAGCAAGGGAGCCTGTATTAAAGGAACACTACAGTCACCTAAATTACTTAAAGGACCACTCTAGGCACCCAGACCACTTCACCTTAATGAAGTGGTCTGGGTGCCAGGTCCAGCTAGGATTAACCCATTTTTTTAATAAACATAGCAGTTTCAGAGAAACTGCTATGTTTATAAATGGGTTAATCCTTCCTCCAATTCCTCTAGCGGCTGTCTCATTGTTATGATGATCATTGTTATCATGAGAGTTGATGGCAAAGGTGGAGAGGAGAAGAGCTATCATTGTCTGGATGGGGAGTCGCCTTTCGTAATTACAATAGGTACTAACTGTTCTGGCGTTCTTTCCTTGCTCATTTCACACCCCTGACACCTGGTTGAGGCTCACTGGACCTATTCTTCACAAAAATAATTGTCAATTGATTTTTGCTGTTGCCTATGTTTTAAAATGTGTCTAAAGTGAGACATATCATTACCATTGAACATGTTCTTGGCATGACTTACAGAAGCTTTATCGGGGTGATTTTTTAAAAAAATTTTTTCAACAAAATTTTGCACTTCAACCGACTTCACACACATTTCTTTGATCAATGCACTAGGAAGATTTTCCCTCCCCTCCTCCTCTGAAGACAATTCCTCAGATGCTCTTTTTTGCTGCTCCCTCTGAAAGTTTTGGAGTTCTTCTGTGGTGAGTTTGTTCTGGTGATCCTCCACATCTTCATCATTCACCTCCAAGCCCATTGATTTCCTCTGGCCAGAATTTCCTCCAGGCTGAGTTCATGGTCCCATAAGACACCCCCCTCCCCTCCCCATGTAATCTAAGCTGGATAAGAGGAGTTGTATTGGGGGGCTAAAACTGAACTCCATCAATTCTTCCTCCAGTCCAGGAGTTTGAGCAGGAGCATTATACATAAGAAGCAGTGCCTTGACAGGCAAGTGTTGTTTTTTTTTTTTTTTTTTGTAGGTATAGTTAAACACTTGGCCCAAATACCTCATGAACCCACTCAATAAAAAATTGCCTGGTTACCCAAGCTTTGCTGTTAGCCCTCCACATCACCTGCAATTTGCTTTTCAGGACACTTTTCTTAAATACCCTCGGGTTCTCCGAGTGGTAGTCTAGCAAAGGCTTCAATTTAAAATCCCCACTTGCATTCCCACAGAACATTGGGTTTAGCCTGTCCATCATTGGCTTGTGTCCTGGCAATAATTTCTCCTCCTTTGTTATGTAGGTTCTCTTTGGCATTTTCTTCCAAAACAGGCCTGTCTCATCACCGTTAAACACTTGTTGGGGAACAAATTCCTCAGCCTCTACATAGGCTTTAAATTCGAACAACAAATGTCTCAGCCCTGTCTTTGTTAGCACTGGAAGCTTCACTACGTCTCACCACACTGTGTATGCCACTTCTTTTTAAACTTTTCAAACCACCCTCTGCTTGCCTTGAAAACCTCACTATCCGCACTCGTTTAAGGTTTGTTTTTTTTCACAAGATCAGCATGCGCATGTATTGCTTTTTCACAAATTATTGCTTCTGATATGCTATCACCAGCAAAATGTTTTTTCATTAATCCATATCAATAACAATTTTTTTACTTTTTCTAGTGTCTGGCTTCTTTGTTTTGTTATCGCTTTCACTCCTAGATTTGGCCATACCAAACTGTGTTGCTAGATCACAAATACAAACACCGCTTTCATGTTTTAAAATGATCTCTTTCTTCAACTCTATTGTCATTCTCACAATTTTTCTCTTGGGTTGGCTAATATCCTTGGGACCCATGGTGAGTTTTTGCAGACTAAATGGAGCTCTATGTGAAGACTCCATTACATATATTTAAGAGTTAGTGGAGCTCTATTTGAGGACTGAATGGAACCCCATTTGAGGACTGAATGGAACCCCATTTGAGGACTGAATTGAACTCTGCTGACTGAATAAAACTTTTGCTGGCAGAATGGAGCTTTGCTGACTGGAGCTTTATTTGAAGACTGAATGGAGCACCGCTGACTGAATGGACCTCTGTTTAAAGACTGAATGGAATTTTTTGCTGACTGAATGGAGCTGTTTGTTGCAAGAATGGAGCTTTTGCTGACAGAATGGAACTCTGCTGATGGAATGGCGATGCTTCATACTAACGAGGTACCAACGGGATTACCATAGAGATGAATGCCGCGTGATCTCGTGGTGTGTTCGGGTACTGGGGATCGTTTTGGTACCGAGACATTTTTCACTCAAAATTTTAGTTTGAATACTGAATTGTTTGTGACCAAGGTTTCACTGTACAACACAATCCGACTGGTTAGTTAAACTGGGAGTCACTATCTCTTGGAGATGTGCGGAGCAACATGGGTGAATTTTTGGCTATGGCCACAAAGAAGAGCCCGCATGCTCCAATAACATGCTAGGTAGGCTCAAAGTGAATGAGTACCCCTAAGAGCAGGGGGCGAGTGGATAGACATTAATGCCAAATGTGGCAGTCAGAACATGTTGTAAAGCCACCGGGCTACAAGATGAGCTGTATCAAATTGTGTACCACAAGAGCAGACATGTTTGTAGAATAATACAAAAAGAAAGAGAAGGAAAAAAAAGAGAGCTACAAAAAATACAATAAAACAGAGCTCATCCTGTTAGATGCCTGATAGAGGGCTATCTGAAACGCGGGTCAAGTCCCTGAGTTAGACTCTTCTCTCCTCGAGGAACAAAATTAACTAGCCTAGTTTGGTCCTAGGGGTGGTGAATCGTAGAACTAAAGGGGTCCACCACAAGAAAGTAATGTGAGGATATTTATGGGGTGATAAATATTAAAAATTATCAATAATTTTTTATTATTATTATTATATCAAAAATTGATATATTGGCACTTTTCCCCTTAATTATTGATTTAAAGCTGAAAATTCCCCACTATTTTAATTCTTATAGATCCTGGAGTTTGTTTATCAGAGGATTTATATTTCACACATTAATCACAAACTAATTATAAAAATATAATTTATTGTGACTAATATTAATAATATGTAACATGCGTGATAACAATCAGTGAATTATTATGTATAAAATAATTATACGAATGGCAATGGCTTAACACAGTTTACAGACCGCTAAATAGCAACATTTATATCGACATTGTAAAGGATTCTCCTATATTAATTCGGCTGTTTTCCCTCCCTGCTATTTAAGTGCCTTGAAAGCATTTGTTTTATTTGTTCATTCGGTAAATCATTTGTTTTACCGAACAGCGACCACCCTGGGTAGCAATTAGAACATGGAACACTATGTAACCACACAAAACTGCAAAGTAATTGAATGCTCCTAGGTGGCTGCCGTTTCGTGCATACGAACGCACGTGGTGAGAACAATGAATGGTGGCCATCTTAAACTCCTGAACGCGGCCAGCGGGACTTGGTCATCGAGTGCCTGAAACGGTTTTCGGCATATGAACGAACACGTGGCAGCAGCCATCTTAAACTGTCGTACGGCCAGTGGTGTTCTGGCATCGAACGCATGGAACTGTTTTCGGGCACTATTTCACACGAACACCGCTGGGACTTCAAGCAATTTGTCTATTTTCATACGTATGCAGCAGCGTTCGGTACATTTAAACAGACGAACCAGAGACACACATAGACTATGGCCATTCACCAGTTCATTCAGTAATTTGAACAGTATTTGAACTAGTGGACCGGCCGCACAGCCCAATTCTCTGGAACTGTTTTGGGCATGAAGCCATGCTTGCGGTCAGTCAGGGATTTCCTGAACCCCTGTTCTGATCTGGGTGATCATTGGATATGTTGTTCACCCAGATCAGGGCTATCGGGGGATATGTGGTGTTTTGGGGGTGTTTTCTGTGTTTTGTGAAAAATGTTTTTTTTTTTTTTTGCTTGGGGATAATGGAGTTAATTACAGTATCTTATTCCATTATCTCCCAAGCAGAGTGGAGGGTTTGTGTACTTTATCTGGGAGTGTCTAACTGTACAATATTGTTTTGATTGGCTTTGTGACTTTGTGTCCTGTGCCCCTCAAGGTCCACCTGGGCGGTAACCTTGTGGGGAAAACTGTATAAAAGACCAAGCTGTTCAATAAACTCTCACATCTGCTGAGTTCCTGTTTTACCCTCAACATAGAGCCTCGCCTCATGTATGGGGGGGGGGGAGGCTGCATCTATTCTGGGGATTGCTATATCACTATACTCCCCAGGGATTATAATCACTAAGCTCTTTTAAGACCTTGTTCCTGCTACTCTCTCTTGGAGGAGAGGTTCATCCACTGGAACCTGGAACCTTGTCGTAGGTCCAGGGTGGGTAGAGGACGGCGAGTTTCCAGCCAAGCTGTAACGCTGGCTGTGGGGACTGCGGTGCTGATGGTGTCTGGTGGAGTGCTTGGAGTCCTCGGTGAGCACTAGGAGCATCTGTCGGCGGAGGTACCCAACCGGGGTACAGGAAGCTATTTACAGTGACCAATAGAGTAAGGTGGGCGGATCTTCCCTACAGACTATCATCTAGATTTTGGTCAGTAGATAGTGCAATTACATTACAGAAAATTCTTGTCGGGGGGTCTATTTACTATTTTGTTTAATGGGTTAACTGAATTTCTGCGTTTGAAGTCATCTTGGTTATGTTTTATGGATAACCGTCCATCAAACCTGTCCAACTTCAAAGGCTTTTCTTTTGTTTTTCCAGACTGCCTGGTTTTGGTGTCATAAAATTTGAATTTTGACACCGGTGGCCTTAATTTCACCCACAAATTAATTACTGTAGTGTTATCTGTCATTCTGTGTCTGTTTTTCTTGTGTGAAACTGTGTGTAGCACTTAGTAATACTACACATATTCCACTAACGTTGGTAAATAATATGGTATCCATGAATATTCTAATATTATTAACTATTACTATTTATATATAATTAAACATAATTATAGTTAGTTATATGTGGGTATATGTATTTATATATGTGTTTCTGGGTTGTTTCGTTCTCAACTGCTCAAACATCATGTCATGTCTCTGCCAATGTTTACATTAGACGCATTCCTCTGCTCAGTGTGGAATAGAGTATAGAGAGAAAAAAAAGTCTGTCTTTTTGTATTGTGTTACAAAATGGAGTCACCGCTGTTCAGATGGTGACTTACAGTATACATTTTTAATTTCTATCTTAACACAAAATGTCAGCCAGTGTAGATATACTGACAGGAAGATGCCTCATTTGGAGAGGATATTACAATTACAGTTGCATTGTGGGTTATAGAGCGAGACCGTGGCCCTGCCCAGTTGTACTGGCCATGCTGTTTTCACTTGTCAAGTGACTGGGTTCCAAGACCTCTGCCATTGAAATGTACACCTAGAAAGATCTTGGTAGAAGGTGAGGAGGGATGATTAAACTTTTCCGGGCGTCTTGCCCTGTCATGCCGCTGTAATGTGACGTTTGTCCTGGAACGGCTAAAATGTCTTGTGTAGCAGAAGATGGAGCCAGCAAGGACTTATTTATGCGGTAAATCCCAAGATAATCTACTTTGCGTGGCTAGGAGAAAGAATGGATGCCATAAGTCAACACTGATTGTGCAGTAGTTCCTATATTAGGCCAGATTGTGTCCTCAAGGGATTCGTGTGTCTGAGAAGCTGTTAGGAAAAGTAGGCCCCACTTCAGCTACATTGCCATATTGCTGTCGGTATGAAAAATAATGACATCTATTGATAGTGGTGGTTTCCCAACGTTAAGTATTGGCAGACTCTTGGTTCGATGGAGAGGTAGAACCAGAATATTTGCCTAAATTTAATTATTTCTTGAGAGAAATGTAAGGTATGGCATCAACTCAATGTCATGGTTAAGCTCTGCCTCAAATGCATGTATATGTATGTGTGTGTGTATATGTATGTATGTATGTATGTATGTGTGTGTGTGTGTATAATATTATATTATATTATATTTTTTTTATTTTAACTATCCTGTTCAGGTGTTTTTACTTAAAGGACCACTATAGGCACCCAGACCACTTCAGCTTAATGAAGTGATCTGGGTGCCAGGTCCAGCTAGGATTAACCCTTTTTTCTGTAAACATAGCAGTTTCAGAGAAACTGCTATGTGTACCTATGGGTTAATCCAGCCTCTAGTGGCTGTCTCATTGACAGCCGCTAGAGGCACTTCTGCGCTTCTCACTGTGATTTTCACAGTGAGAAGACGCCAGCGTCCATAGGAAAGCATTGATAATGCTTTCCTATGCACTGGGTATGTGGGCGCGGCACTTGCCGCGCATTCAGCCGTTGACGGAAGAAGAGGGAGGAGAGCTCCCCGCCCGGCGCTGGAAAAAGAGGTAAGTTTAACCCCTTCCACCCCCTAGAGCCCGGCGGGAGGGGGACCCTGAGGGTGGGGGCACCCTCAGGGTACTATAGTGCCAGGAAAACGAGTGTGTTTTCCTGGCACCATAGTGGTGCTTTAAGCCATTTTAGCCTAGACTTTCCATTTTAAGGAATTAGGGACTCTTTTGTAGGAATGGTTAGGACTTGAAGGAATGTCTGGCATTGAAGAGGTCTTGTTGAAGGAAATGTTAACATTGAAGTGGTATTTTTAAAGGAAAGGTTACCATTAGCGGTACCTGTTGAAGAAGCAGTTGTTATTGAGGGGAAGGTGTCTTGTTGAAGGAAAGGTTGACGTTCTAAAAGGAAAGCTTGTTGTGCTAATTAGGGGTCTTTTTGAAGGACTAATATGCATGTGTTGATGTGTCTCCTGGTGTCAAGTCCTAAAGGGGACCTGTCTAGTTCTTTCTTATTAAAATTATATATTTTTTTTCTTTCTAATGGGTCGAGTTTCAGGTTAGTGATATGTTAAGACTGCTTTAACTTATTGCCCTTTATGAAAGTTTGTCCAGAATTCTAATTAGGAAACACTTCTTAAAGGAACCCTATAGGATCAGGAACACAACCATGTATTCATGACCCTATAGTGCTAAACCCACCATTTAGGTGGCTCGCCCCAATTTAGGCCCCTCTAAAAGGAATTAAAACACCTTATTTCCAGTGCTGCGCGGGTTTGCCGGCGCTGGCTCTGCCCCCTAGGTGACATCAGAATTAGGGAAAGCATTGGATTGGAAAAAATCAACAAGGGGCGGGGCCAAATGCCTTTTTGGCGAATCAGCACCTCCTTATAGAGATGCATTGAATCAATGCACCTCTATGAAGAAAATTCAGTGTCCCCACACAGAGCGTGGAGACACTGAACGGCTGTGCAGCACTGAGCCAGGAAGCACCTCCAGTGGACATGTGAGGAGTAGCCACATGGAGCTGTCCCTAGAGGCAATGTAAGCACTGCATTTTCTCTGAAAAGGCAGTGTTTTGTTCTGGTGAGTATAGTGTCCCTTTAAATTAGCATCACCATTTGTAGGGACTCTGCATTTCTTATGCAAATCTTATATATAACTTTTTATAAATGTACAGTTCAGCAGTGCATGCACTCAATGCAGAAGAGCTGTGGTATTACCAAAAAGACCAAATACACCTCTAAAAAAAAATGTTGATTAAGAACAATTTAGGGAAATTTAATTTCAAGGGGAGGAGGACATTATTCAGTTTCTATCAGAGACATTATCATGTTCTTTGTCCAGATCACTTTAGGAGATCCTGACTGGATTTATTCTCTGCCCGCGTTTGTAATCTGCCTCTGCTGGTTAGCCAGATTCAAATACCCTGTGACTTGAAAAGTACTTGTTGTTATTCGTCCAAATCTTCAAACTGCGTATTAAAAGTAACAGCTTCCTGGAGAATCGTTGGTGTGTAGTTTAAGTTTCTTTCCCTTTATTACACTGTTAATGGGTACCCATAAAGGATTTAAAAGGAGCATTCCAGTAACATTTGTTTCAAGTCTATCATTTTTATGATTCCTTCTAAAAGTGCCTATTTCAATAGAAATCTTCACTTTTATTTTCTGGGAAGGAACATCTCCCTGGCTGTCAATCAGCTGGGCTTGTTGTTCCAGTGGAGAGGCTGCTTGGGGGGGGAGTGAGAGCTTGCAAAGGCTGCAGACAACAAGTCTGCAGCTTTGAAAAGTAATTTTTTCATATATCCCAAAGATAACAAAATATAGGAAACATATATACATGTGTTTATTTTTATTCAGCTATATAACTATGCAGAGTTCTAAAAGTAAGGAAATCATTCTGTAAACCAATGGAATCAACAGACACATTTCTCTTGTACACCTTTGCAAAACTTTTAACACCAAAACACTGAAAGAAATTTCCCCAAAGATTGCAATGTTTTACATTTTCCACTACTGTTTTGACCAAATTATACATCAGGCTTTTATGTATAATATTATGAATTCTTTAGGTTTGTAATTGTAGGGACTTTTCTCCATCATGAGACACAAACTTACAAACAAAAACCATAGCTTTCCAATGTTGTCAGGCTGGTAAAAAGTGGTAAAAATATATGGGAGGTGGGGGGATAAAATTCAATGAAGTGTTTCTTTATGAGAACCCTTCTCTTTGTATTATAGTGTGTTCTCTATTTCAGAAACATGGACACCGACCTGTTTATGGAGTGTGAGGAGGAGGAGCTGGAGCCATGGCAGAAAATGAGTGACATCATTGAAGACTCTGTTGTAGAGGATTACAGCTACTTAGACAAAACGCCAACAGGTACCCATCAAACTACTTTACATCACTAAAGGAACACTATAGTCACCCAGACCACATCTTAGTGAAATGACCTGTGTGGAGTGGTCCTCTCATTTTAACACTGCAATATAAACATTGCAGTTAAGTAGAAACTACAATGTTTACATTACATGGTGAAGGGGACACTATAGGTACTAGTACAACTACAGCTTGTTGTATTAATTCTGGTGAGTATAATCATTCCCTTCAGGCTTTTTCTTATAAATACTGTGTTTTCAGAAAAAAGGCAGTGTTTACATTACAGCCTAGGGATACCTCCACTTGACACTCCTCAGGTGGCTGCTGGAGCTGCTTCCTGGGGCAGTGTTGCAAAGTGTGCAGCACTGCCATTCAGTGTCTCCACCCTTTGAATGGAGACACTGAACTTTCCTCATAGAGTTGCATTGAGCAGATGTTGATTGACCAAGGCTGTGTTTAATTTCCTTGACAGTCTTAGCCATTCCAGTGCTTTCCTCTGTGAGAGCATGGTGATTGGCTGAGAGATTCACTTCTGATGATGTCAGTCAAGTAGGCAGATCAGGGGAAGAGCCAGCAGCAGCAGATTTGAATAAAAGTAAGATTGTGTTATATTTAAAGGGGCTAGTGGGGGCCAGAAGGGCTAGATGGTTGTTTTAACAGTAGAGGGTCAGGAATACATGTTTGTGTTCTTGACCCTATAGTGTTCCTTTAAATACACCTCTAGTTGCTGGTCTATCAAGCTTGTACACACAGCAGGCTATGAAAATAAAATAAAATAATGTATATTTGCTCTTGCTATGTATGCATACTGTACATTCTGAAATGTCTATTTTTCCTGTCAAGTAACTAACTGTAATTACATGTGAGGACTGTGTAAGATTTGTTTCAATATCTCACATTTATATTTTTCTTATTCTTTCAGTTCTGAACTTCCAGTCGGTCTCTGCTCCTCTGCCAGTGGTTGCTCATCAGTCTCTAAACACCCATTACTCCACAGCCACCACATTGACAAACAGCATAGCTCAGAACAATGACCACACCAAGAAGACTGTGGTGACTCTTTTTGCAAATAACAGTGGTAGGTAGTTGGATGATACTTATCTCATTGTATCCAATGTCCTGCACAAGCTTATAAAGTCTACAAAAAAAAATCAAATCAATGATTCCTTAATTTACAGTTGGGGAAAATAATCTTTAATTTGCCTTTTGGAAGTAATTTCATAGTCATTTTTATATTTTAAGACAAAAAGCATTATGAGTGGAGACCTGATTACTGCCGTGAATACGCTAGAACAATTATAGTTATCTTTGGCAAGATGTTGGCATAATGATATGGACTACGGGCACATGCTCGGTCTGCCTTTAGATCCTGAGTGGGGGAAATTAGTGTTCTCTAAAATCAAAGGGCAGTATCAGTGGACAGCTAATGTCGACATCTTTATAAGTCTCTTCTGTTTACATGAACATCAGCTAGTGGGGAGAGTCCTATAAATATAAAAATGCGCTTTCTATTTTTTTTATCTCCAAGATAAGTGCATTTTCCTCTGTTTTCCTTCCTCTCCTCAGTATACCAAAGATCACCTAGTGTTTCCTTATTCTTTATCACTCTGTAAATACATGCAACCATGCCCTAGGCACACGTGTGCTTACTTCCCAGTGAACCAGTTGCAATGTACGGTATCAAGAGAGTTGACGTACTATATGTATAGTTTGTGTTGGTAGAATGTGTAGTGCAGGTCCCAAAATTTCAAGATCTGTGCAGCATGCAAAACCTTAAAGGGACATAAAATCACTATGTATTCGATATACCTCCAATGAAAACTGGCAAGTGGATATGTTTGAGCATTGGTGTATTGTACAGTGTAAAAGGTTTAAATTGACTAGCCCTCCCCTGGTAGTTTTTTTTTTTGTTTGTTTTTATTTATTGATTTGTACAATACAGACTGATTGACCTGGATCCCTCTTGCACATTTTCCTTGCTAGGTACAACTCCCATTATGCAGTCCGGTGGTCAGCCTCTCATACTGACCCAGAATACAGGAACTGGCCTTGGCACAATGGTCACTCAGCCTATGCTTCGACCCATGCAAGTCATGCAAAATGCCAATCATGCCAACAGCTCATCAGTGGCGACGCAGCCCATCTTCATAACTACCCAGGTGAGGACAGACAAGTGGACATTTTAATAATTCTGGTATTGACATCAGACCCTCTCTCTGTGATAAACCGTTTCCTCCTTTCTGAGCAGCTTACTCTCACCTTTGAGTCTCATCTCTGCTGTGTAATGCATGAATGCTGTCAAGTGCATATGTAGATTACTTTTTATTTCTCTCCCCCAAGGGATTTCCAGTACGGAATGTGAGACCTGGACAGAATAGTATGAATGCCATGAACACTATGAACCAGGTGGGAATTGTGCTGAATGTACAGCAAGGACAGACTGTCAGACCTATCACTATAGTGCCAGGTGAGTCTTTTGAAGCCCCTGAGTAATTATGTTAGTGGGTTTGCGGTTATTCGCCGCTAGTCAGACGACAAAAAAGGAGTATGTTCTAATTTCCTGTTGTGAAACTGAGCTTGCTGAATTCAGTTTATTAAATACAGTGAGGGAAAAAAAAGTATTTGATCCCTTGCTGATTTTAAACGTTTGCCCACTGACAAATAAATGATCAGTCTATAATTTTAATGGTAAGTGTCTTTTAACAGTGAGAGACAGAATAAAAAAAAAAATTAAAAAAAAAATATCCAGAAAAACACATGTCAAAAAAGATATGAATTAACATACATGTCAATGAGTGAAATAAGTATTTGACCCCTTCGACTTAGTTCTTGATGACAAAACCCTTGTTGGCAATCACATAGGTCAAACGTTTCTTGTAGTTGGCCGTCAGGTTTGCACACATCTCAGGAAGGATTTTGTCCCACTCCTCTTTGCAGATCCTCTCTAAGTCATTATGGTTTTTGAGGCTGATGTTTGGCAACGCGAACTTTCAGCTCCCACCACAGATTTTCTATGGGATTAAGATCTAGAGACTGGCTAGGCCACTCCAGTACCTTCATGTACTTCTTCTTGAGCCACTCCTTTTTTGCCTTGGCTGTGTGTTTTGGATCATTGTCATGCTGGAATACCCATCCATAACCCATTTTCAATGCCCTGGCTGAGGGACGGAGGTTCTTACCAAAGATATGACGGTATATGGCCCCATCCATCATCCCTTATGATGCGGTGCAGTTGTCCTGTCCCCTTAGCAGTAAAAAACAAAAACAAAGCATAATGTTTCCACCTCCATGTTTGACAGTGGGGATGGTGTTCTTGGGGTCATAGGCAGCATTCATCCTCCTCCAATTTTTAATATGTGGAGTAAACTTCTTGATCCAAGGAGAGCGCTGACTGCCATTCTGGGGTCAATAAGAAAGTTTTTCCTGATTTGTTGCAAAATGTTTCATACTGTTTTTTTGCCACCTTTTGGATCAACAGCAAAAACAGATGTGAGAAAGGGCCGATGTATTTTCATGTAACTATGCAGAGTTCTAAAAGTAAGGCAATCACTTAGTTAATGTTTGTCACATCAGATCGCATAATAAGTAGTTATGCCTGGTTAGGGGTCGTTGGTTAGATGGAGTGGCTGTCAATATGGTAAAGTATTTATTTTGTGTGTTGGCTGTTTCACCTTTGGAATGTGGTGGATTGGACATGTATCTTAACAAAAATAAGAACCAAAAATAACTGAACTGTATTTGTAATGGGTCTAGACCGGCCACCACTTCTGCCGAGAACCACTTTGTGTACTCCAGGGCATTCCTCACTTTGGCTTTAAAGGAGTCATCCAAAGTTAGGATGTATAATCTCCAGGTCAGGATACATTTCTTGGCAAGGATTTCTTTGTTGGTTAGTGTCACCTACCAATCCATTTAGAAAATAAATTTGAGTTTAGATAAAAATAATTGTAGCGTGGGAGCGTTCGGCTGGTTCCAGACCGGAGAATGGCCTTGCGTCCAATCACTGCTATTATGAGGAGGATCCTATTATTAGTTAGGGGTTGACCCGGGATAGGTCCCAAGAGCAAGAATTCCAGGATCAATGGTAGTGTGGGCATGTTTCCGGTCGTGAGATATGTTTTCATCTCAGTCCAAAATGTTTATATTAGTGTGCACTCCCACAGACAGTGATATAAGTCGGCTCTTGTGTGTACGTATTTGAAACAGGTCGCCGAGTCCTTCCTAGCCATTAGATGTGGTCTGCGTGGGGAATAATATGCAACATGTCTCCGTAAGAGATGATAGGAAGGATTTGGTATTGGGCTTGGTCCGCCCTCAGGATGGCTGTAGGAGTTATGTCAGGGAAGTGGTTTTTCAAGTTTCTCATGCCTTTTTGAAGTCCAGTCCGGAGTGTTTTGTTTTAACATGTATAGTTTAGATGTGGAATAAGTGGCTCGTGTCAAGGAGCGCAGCATGGTGTCTAATGGGTTCTCCCAATCCGCTGCTGAGAGTAACAGAGTGGTAGTAGTGCCGCACCTGGAGATATGTGAACCATGGCGTTGGAAGGCCTGGAAATCGCTCCCTTATCTCCGCCAGCGTTAAAATCCTTTTGACCTGCATGGTCTACTAAGGAAAGGAGAGCCGTGACACCCCGGCTTGCCCACAACGGGAAGGGATAGTCTGTGTTGCGAGCGAGGGGCACGTGCAGTGATTTTAAAGAGAGAGCTCCCATCTTAGATCGAGCTTGTTTCCAGGCCCTGATTGGGGTGTGTATAAGCGGGTTCATGTGGATTTTATTTGAGAGGAGTTGATGCGGCCTGTGCAGGAGAGCCAGCAGTAAGTCCGGCTCTGCCAGAAAGGACTCCAACGACAACTCCGAAAATCTATGCTGGGATTGGATCCAATCCAGTGCATGTCTAATTTGCGCTGCTAGGCTATATTCTTTAGCATGTGGCAAGTTTAGTCCCCCTTGAGTGGTGTATTGGTATAGAATTGTAAGGCTAAGGTGTGGTTTGCATCCCTGCCACAAAAATGGTTGAATCTTCTTATTTAGTAGAGTTTCATTGTGTTTCGAGAGTAGCAAGGGGAGGACTTGAAGTGGATAAAGTAGTTTGGGAAAGCGAATTCATTTGTATTGATTTGCCCTTCCTATGTAGGATAAGGGTAAGTTATGCCAATGGTCAAGCTCTGAGAAAATGTTAGCCAAGATGGGAGGTATGTTCAGTTTGTATAGGAGGGAGATGTTTTTAGGAATTTTGATTCCTAGGTATTTGAGTGCCTGTGATTCCATTTTAAGGGAATTCCACCCAACATCGGTGGAAGTCGCCTGCTTCGCAGATCTAGTTCTAATTCCTCTACAATTTGTAAACTGATTCTTACGTCAAAATAAATTGCTGCTTTGCAGTGGATGTAATGACATAACAGCCTGTGTGGTGTATTGCTCCTGGCTGTACATGTATCTTAGATATTGACTCTGTTTTCTGCCCAGCACCAGGCACCCAGTTCATGAAACCAGCGGTGGGAGTTCCCCAAATGTTTTCCCAAATGACACAGGTGAGACCTGCCCCTGCGGGGCCTGTGCGTTCAGCCACCAACACTTTCACTACGGTCATCCCTGCCACCCTTACCATCAGGAGCACAGTTCCTCAATCTCAGGCTCAAGTCAACAAGACCACTCCCAGCACATCTACCACTTCTGCTCCCAGTCAGCCACCTGTGGCTCTCCGACAGATAGCTATGCAGCAGCCTCAACAGACAGTACCCGTGAGCCAGAACAACCAACAGAATGCAAACCCCAAACTAGGTGAGACAATCATTGTTTGTTCAGTCCTATACCTGCTATACCTGTATTCTTGTCAGCTGGGCCTACAGCAAAAGCAAGACATAAGATCTTTTCTATTGGAAAGCACGGGCAGGTTCCTATTCAATTCATGTTTTATTTGTATTTCTACATAATTCCATTTAATGTTATTATATTTATCAACAGAGCGATCACATGGTCACAATAGGTGTCCATGTGTCTGCCTGCAGGGGGATTGTCCTGACAAGCAGTCTCCCTGCTAGTGTAAAATCATTAAAAAAAAATTAAAGTAAAAAAATATATAAATAATATATGATATATATATGATATATATATGATATATAGACATATATTTTATATATGTGTCTATATATAATGTCATACTAACTGTATTTTTATATTAATATGTACATATATTAATATTAAAATATACTTATAATTAAATTACACACGTGTGTATATATAATATAAATAACTATATTGTATATAAATATTATTAAAAAATACAAATCATAAGTAATTTAAATTAAATAAAAACATGTAAAAAAAAATCTATATGAAATTTTATTCTAACTGTATTTTGATAGTAAAATATATATATATATATCTCTCAAAATACACTTAGAATGAAATTGTATATATAAATAAATAAAAATAATACAAAATATACATATGTCGATAAACAAAATTACTTAAATAATTATATAAATATACACGTAGACTTCAAATATATAAATATGCATATATATTTAAATTCTACGTGCGTATTTATGTAATATTTTTACATAATTAAGTAATTTTATTGATTGCAATTTGAGGGACCTGTCTGCCAACCCAGGTCAAAAGTCCAGAGAATTTAATTTGCTAGCACTATATTTTACCCTGTAACTTTCTATGATACCCTAAAACATGTTCATGGGGGGGTACTGTTTTACTCGAGAGACTTCGCTGAACACAAATATTAGTGATTCAAAACAGTAAAACATATATTGCAGCGATGATATTGTCAGTGAAAGTGACTTTTTTTTACATTTTTCACATACAAACAGCACTTTTACTGATGATATAATTGTTGTGATACGTTTTCCTGTTTTGAAACACTAATATTTGTGTTCAGCAAAGTCTCCCGAGTATAACAGTACTCCCCATGTACAGGTTTTATAGTGTTTATGAAAGTTACAGGGTCAAATATATGGGTCAAATATTTTTACTTTGAAAAAGGCCAGGTTGGTTACGTTGCCTTTGAGAACGTATGGTAGCCCAGGAATGAGAATTACCCCCATGATGGCATCCCATTTGCAAAAGAAGACAACCCAAAGTATTGCAAATGGGGTATGTCCAGTCTTTTTTAGTAGCCACTTATTCACAAACACTGGCCAAAATTAGCGTTCAATTTAGTTTTTTACTTTTTTCACACACAAACAAATATGAATGCTAACTTTGGCTACTAAAAATGACTGGACATACTCCATATTGAATACCCTGGGTTGTCTACTTTAAAAAATATATGTGCATGTGGGGTGTTATTCAGAGATTTATGACAAATAGTGTTACAATGTCACTATTGCTAAATTTTAAAAATGTATGTTTTGAAAACGCAATATCCTACTTGTACGTATAGCCCTATAACTTGCAAAAAAAAGCATGTAAACACTGGGTATTTTTAAACTCAGGACAAAATTTTGAATCTATTGAGCAGTTTTTTCCATTCGCTTTTGTAGATTAGTAAAAGATTTTTCAAGTAAAAGTCAAAAAAGTATTTCTTTCAATTTTTCATCATATTTTTTTAATTTTTTAAAATTAAATTACATGAGATTATATAAATAATGGTAGCCACACCTCCTATTTGCACAAAACCTTTTCCTGTTTGGAAGACCAAAAATATTGCTCAGCGTTCAGTGTAATCTGAGCTGCTGACTTGACTCCACCCCCACAGCCAGTCACTGTCCTTTTATTATTTGTTTAATATTTCAAAGGATGGTTTTAATGCCCCATTCAACATTACATATTTCCTCACTAGGTGTCATGAAATGCTTCAAAGCATTTGATTGGACCATTCTCACCAGCTCAGAGTGCATTCAGAGTTACGGGTTGCCTGTCCTGAGTGCCAGGAATACAACTAGACCTGGAATTCGTGCAAATATCTTGCGTGTAGTGTAAGCAGAAACAATGCAGATACAGATTCCTGCTACCGTGACCACTTCTAAAAGAAGTGGTCATGGTGGTTGGAGTAACCCTTTAAGTTGTGTGTGTATGTATTTGCCTAGAGTCCTTTTTAAGCACAATACAGAATCATGACATAGGGCATTGAAGATTTTTTTTAATATTTGTAGATTGCACATATTACATAGAAACCTAGAATGTGATGGCAGATAAAGAACCATTGGGCCCATCTAGTCTCCCCAATTTTCTAAATACTTTCATTAGTCCATTATAGCTAGGATAGCCTTATGCCTATCCCACGCATGCTTAAACTCCTATACTGTGTTAACCTCTACCACTTCAGCTGGAAGGCTATTCCATGCATCCACTACCCTCTCAGTAAAGTAATACTTCCTGATATTATTTTTAAACCTTTGCCCCTTTAATTTAAGACTATCTCCTCTTGTTGTGGTTATACAGAGTGTAAAATCAGCATTGCTGTGAATATCTTTGATATGTTTGACAATGCATTAACTGTCTCCTGGCCTTTTGTTTTTTGTTTTTTTCCCCCCATGTGTTCCACAGTGAGTATTGCCAGCTTTGTGGCAGTGAAGAGGCCTGGGGATACAAATGACATGGTGAAGTTTGTGAATGCAGTGACTGGCAGCCAAACCACTGTTCAAACCACCAGTACCATGGTTCTTGCCAATAGTGGTACTATCAACAATGCCAACAACGGCAGTCTACAACGTGTCCTTCCAAATGAGCCCCTTGCCCTGAAAGGTAGGAAGCAAGAACAGTTTTCACCTGACCTGTGTGTTTGTGTTCGTTTGCAGAAAATTTTTGAGCTAAATCCTATTTTTATTTTCCTCTCTCTGACAGCCCCCACTCCCAGCAATTCACCCTTTTCAACAACCACAACGTTTGATGCCTCTGACACTGGGAGGAAGAACTGCCCCAGATGCCACACACTGTTTCGGGTTACGGAAGCCCTGCGGGGTCACATGTGTGTAAGTTACCATGATCTTTACAATACTGCATTTTCCCCTAGATTCTCTCCTCTATTTGGGGACTGCTTCATAGGATGGATCTAAACATACAGCTTTTGTCTACCCATTTAAACATGTACACCATTAGAGGAACTGACCTCTCCGGTGAAACTGTCAAATTCAATATTTATCTTAAAGTTGGCAGTTAATCTGTATTAACATCAGTTACATTGCGTCTAATACATATTCAAACTACCCTGTTATTCACTGTGCATTGCCCAAGAATGTGCGTACAGCAAGTCTTCGAAAAATGATGGCATCTTCAATCACTTGGAAGCTGCTGACGTAATTTGTTTCTGCATCCCTTCACTGTACGTTTCACTCTTCTACTAGCCTTTAGCATTATTTTTTTTCTTTTTCGCGTTCATACGGTAAAGTTAATGCCACTTGACATACAGGTTGCAAACTTTGCTATTTTGCCTTATTTATTTTATACATGCCTATAGTGCCTATCTCACCTTTTTGTATTTCTCACCAGAAAAATGGTGACCTTTCAACTTTGAATGCACATGTTTTTTATGTATAAACTGGTTATTAAACTGTTGTATGATTTTTATTTATTTTAGTTTTATTTTTTTAATCTGAAAGAAGTTCAGTCTACCGATAATACCAATGAATGAACAGGAGGGCGATCTGTTTGTAACTATCTAGCTCTCTGGGTTGTTGCTCACAAATATCCACAAATCCATTTTTCCCTCTTAATCCACAGTATTGTTGCCCTGATCTTGTTGATTTCACAAAGAAAAACAAAGCCCAAGATACTGAACTGACGCTGCAGGATACACAGACATCATCCCCAGATAAATCCACGTCCATTGCTCCTTCTGCCACACCAGACACTAATTTGCAGTCAAACAGCAAAGGCCAGGAAGCTGGCAGCGAGGAGGTATCCCAAGGAAAGCTTATTATGCTAGTCGATGATTTTTACTATGGACGAGACGTGGGTCGCACCTACCAGATGCAAGGGTTCCCCAAGGTGGCCACCACTTTCCGTTGCCCACACTGTGCGAAGCGGTTGAAGAATAACATCAGGTAGGATTTGGTGGTAGTTTAATAAATACTGTATATTAGCTTCATTGAACAGCATCCTGACTCAGGTGTTTTTACTTTTTCTAAATGTCACTACTGCTTCAATTGTGATCTCATTTTACCAGATTGTGTTCTTTGCAGTCTGTTTGTTTAATTCTATTCCCAGTTCTGACACGTCTTTGATCTTATCTCTCGTTAGGTTTATGAACCACATGAAGCACCACATAGAGTTGGATCAGCAGAATGGTGAGGTTGACGGGCACACAACATGTCAACACTGCTACCGCCAATTCTCTACTCCTTTCCAGCTCCAGTGCCATTTAGAAAATGTCCACAGCTCCTACGAATCAACCAGTAAGTAACATACAGAGGGAAAGGGAGTGATTCAATTTGACTATGTAGTATAGTTTGTAGCTGCTCTGTCCGAAACATTGATCAGACTGGAAAAGCCAATGAAAAGCAATGTAAGAAAGGTTAGAGCACCAATAAGGAGAGGATATGCCTGGGTGGCTTTAGAAAAGCCTCTGTCTTATCTGTAGATGAGTGACTCTCTCTTTTTTAATATCTTGTCATGTTCTTCTGCTTCTTTGCAGCAAAGTGCAAGATCTGTGAGTGGGCATTTGATAGTGAACCACTCTTCCTGCAGCACATGAAGGATACACACAAGCCAGGAGAGATGCCCTACGTATGCCAGGTATTTGAGAGGAACTTTTGAATATATGTGCTGATTGTATCAATTCAAATTATTTTACTGTATTAAAAGAAGGGACTTCTCCAGCTGTGTGGATGGGATTGGATAGTAATTTGTGCCAGTTTATTCTTGACCCCAGATGTCATTGCTGGAACGGAAGGAAATGTTAGAAATAAAATATATACTTTATCCCTTTGGTCCCCGTGTTATCTGTTGTCCCCACAATGCTACAGACAAAGCTTTTCCTTCCCCCTACCCATGTTATGTTTGCTTCTTTATAGGTATGCTACTACCGTTCATCAATTTACGCCGAGGTCGATACCCATTTCCGATTAAACCATGAAGACTCGCGGCACCTGCTCTGCGTCTACTGCTTAAAGGTGTTTAAGAATGGAAATGCCTTTCAGCAGCATTTCATGCGACACCAGGTGAGATGTTCTTTCTTTTTACACTTAAATCAAAATGCACACAATTGCACGTTGAGGGAGAAGCTTTCTGTATGGTTTGTATTGAACATTTTTCAAGGATCGCTCTGGGCACCATCACCATTTTATCACAATGGAGTTATGGTGCAAGAATGACTCAGGCACCATCTTACTTTACTACGTTGTTATGTAGTCTTCAATCTGGTGCCCAATTACTCTTCTCCTTTACATTCATTCCAGTAAGAGGCTTTGGTCAGGAAGCCCCGGCCTGGGTACTACTGATAGGCTGATCAGTAGTTCCCTATTCACAAAAGTGAGTGAAAAAGATACACATCATATGTGGTTTCATACCTTACTGTGCTCACATTGCACTTTACCTTTTTTAGTTGCACACACAATATATTAGACACAATTGATCTTATATAATTGGATAACACAAATTGCAATGGACTACTCTGTTGTTTTTTTGGAAATGTATAATCATTGCAAAGCAACAGCATAGAAAAAAAATGAAAACGTGCCAAAGCGCAATCTTTTCTTGGAAAAGGAGGCTACTAGAAGAAAATCTACGTTATGGGTTATACTTTAATTATTCCTTTCTTCCTATCCTAAAAATATGTATTGCTAGTAATAGTCTTCCTGCGAAGGGTAGTAGATGCCAATTCCAGCACTAAAGTTCAAGAAAACTAGAGATTTGAGACATGACCTCCTCGTGATGAAGAATGTATTCTGGACTTTTGTAGTGAGAATGGACGGGCTCCTTTGGACAGTTGGAGTTTGTATTATGTCAAATTTTATGTGTGATTTGAGTTAGATCAACATGGGAGTGATACGTATGGAAACTTTTAGCCTGCATATCATAATGTGCGTTTCTCTGTGTGGCTTTCTCTTTTTATCTGTCCACATCACCCATTCGACTAGAAGAAGAGTGTATATCACTGCAACAAATGCCGCCTTCAGTTCCTCTTTGCGAAGGATAAGATAGAACACAAACTGCAACATCACAAGACTTTCCGCAAACCCAGACAACTGGAGGGGCTGAAACCCGGTACCAAGGTGAGGCCTATTCACACATTCCACACCATTTACATGCTCTGTTTGGGGGGAGTCCACTTGCTCTATCAATTTATAGTTGCTCTGTACACAGCTCTTTAATTTCCTCCTACAGGTTACTATCCGGGCATCACGAGCTGCACCTCGACCCCTTCCTCATTCTCCTTCGGACACCCCATCTTTGCCCTTGCCAGACATGGATACAGAGTCGATTGCACCCTCTACAGACTCGCAGAGTGTTAACTCTTCACAGCAGGGAAACATCCAGTTACGGTCAGTGTGTTAGGCCTTTAGGTTGAAAACTCACATAGTGATGTCACTCTTTCCCAGTGTTGAGAATAGTGTCTGGCTTGCCTGGTATATACAGTGAACGCAACCATATAGACACCCCTATTTTGTCTGTCCCACTGGTTTGTGTTGAACATGCAACGTGCATTGTGTACCCCACTCCTACGGCACCAACAGAATTTTATGTTGACTCTGTGTTTCAATCTTGTACCACCACAACTAAAGCTTAATTTAATCCAGTCATTCAGATGTACTGTCTTTTACTGACTGCTAATTAATCACATGTGCAACACAGATATAAAAATGTTGAATATTACCGTTTGATATAATTGAGATGCTTAGCATCTATGCCTAGATTGACAGTAAAGCAGAACTATTGTGACTATTTTCACTCCTATTGTGTACTCGTATAATGATTGTGAAATAACTCTTAGCTGGTTTGTTACATCAAAATAGTTTTCAACCATTATTCCCATGCTAAATCAGGGGGCGGTCACTGAAATCCCAATAACTGAATATTGAGAGTAGTGTTTTCATGCCTTTTGGAGTTCCTGATGGTTTGTGTTTCATTTTCAGAACCCCTTTTGGGAAGCCATCTTGTCTAGAGTGCAGCTTCAATGTTCCAGATTTCAAGAACCACTTCCCAACCTACGTGCACTGCTCTCTATGCAGATATCGCACATGCTGTTCTCGGGCCTATGCTAACCACATGATCAAGTAAGTATAAATGTGTTACAGCATCAGAAACAATGTAAACAATCTCGTTGATATACTCTACTGAAACCAGGATTGATCTCTTCCAGTAATCACGTTCCGAGGAAGAGCCCTAAGTATTTGTCGTTGTTTCGAGGCTGTTACCCAAGGTAAGTCCTAGATTAGTTGGTTTCTTTTGACCTTATGGTTGTGACATCCAAGTCCTATAATCCTTCTCTGCTTTCCCTAGTGAAGTGATGGCTCTGGCTTGCTCATCGTGCCTATTTGTGACTCGGATAGGAGATGCTATGGCTAAGCATTTGGTCTTTAACCCAACTCACACCTCAAGCTCAGTTCTATACCCAAGTAAGAGTCATTTGTTGCAACATATTTTTCCATAGGTAGAACCAGGTAGTACAAGTAGGAACAGGCCATTTACCCATTTTATTATCTTAATAAAATCCAAAATATTCATTGGTATACTGTTCTGTCCCTAGCACATGTTAATATATCTGCTTGTTTGATATACCGTAAGTTACATTGTGTTGTATAAATGTTGTAAAGCATATTTCAGATCTTCTCACATTAGCAATATATGCAGTGTATGCATTTCACATTTTATCTTATTTTTATTTCTCAGATTCATCCTCTTCGTGCTTCTTAAGGTAATTGTATTAAACTTTATTTCTGATATTTTCTCATTTCTCAGTGTAACAAGTTGTTTTCAATGTAAAAATATTTTACAGTTTTTATAAAGTTTGTGAATAAATAAAAACAAAGTGCAAAAGTGTGCACTCAATTAAAGTGCAATGGAAAGTAAAAACTAATCCGGAACTACCGGTAGTGCCAAATTGCTAGCAAATTCATAGAGAATATTTCTTTTAAATGTGCATAGAATTAAAAATCTACAAATATGGCTGTTCATCGTGTGCACGAGTCCACCACCGCCGAGATACTGCTTTTAGTCATGTGGGCACCAATTTCAAAGACGTAAACGCAGCCTTCTGTTTGTAAATTTTTATCTATAGATTTCCTCTTAGTACTTTATACCCCAGATTCACTATATACAAAAATCCAAGACTTACTACGTTAGTCACTAAACACATTTCACATGTTAAATCTTTGTCAAAACTTAGCCAGTAATAGCCAGATTGTGACTATAGCTTAGATGGAAAATTGTTCAAGTTCAACTTTGAAAGAAAACTGCATCACATGAGGGGGATTAACAGAAGTTCTAGTTAATTGTCAATCTTTTGTTCAACAATGTAGATTTATTAGAATTCTGAGGGGTGATGTTGACACTTTATTGATGTCTTATAGTACATATCACTTAAATAAGTTCAAAAAATTTATTTGCTGTTGATATTCTCAATAAACGTAAATTAATTTTTTTATATATATATATTTATTTATTTTTCTTCTATTCCAAATCTGTTTTTGTTTTGTGTTGAACCACAGGATAACTGAATCCCGGGACAAGAGCCTGAAGAGCTCTAACAAACTAAGCGATGATAAAAGTGATAAGGCATTTGAGCCTAAGCTGGAAGATGTGTCACCTGTTTCAGAGACTCGTAGCAAGGCAAAGGATAAGCCAATTAATGTGGATGATCTTGAGGACATTGAAGATGAACAGCTGAAACAAACTGAATCACAGAACAAGCAGGAGCAGCTGAGCGTCAAGAAGCTTCGTGTTGTGTTATTTGCACTTTGCTGTAACATAGAACAGGCTTCTGAGCATTTCCACAACTCACCACGCCGCATCAGACGCTGGCTGCAACGGTTCCTGACTTTCCAAGAGGAGAACCAGGAAGGCCTGTCCGAGGGCAAGTACCTAGGCGCAGAAGCAGAGGAAAAATTGGCAGAGTGGGTGTTGACTCAGAGAGAGCAACAACAGCCTGTAAACGAAGAAACACTCTTCCAAAAAGCCACCAAGATTGGACGTTCTTTAGAAGGAGGATTTAAGATCTCTTATGAGTGGGCAGTAAGGTTCATGCTTCGACACAACTTGAGCACACACTCCAAAATCACTGTTGCTAATCCTTTGCCTAAGGAAATGGAAGCCAATGCTCAGACTTTCTTAGAGTTTGTGCAGCGGCAAATACACAATCAAGACCTCCCACTGTCTATGATTGCTGCTGTAGACGAAATCTCCTTGTTTCTTGACATGGAATTGCTGTGTAGCGATGAGAGGAAAGAAAATGCATTACACACAGTGGGAACAGGGGAGGCTTGGGTGGATGTGGTGCTTACAATCTTAGCTGATGGCAGCCTACTGCCCACACTTGTATTCTCTCGCAGCCGTAACACTGCATTAAGGGGAGTTCCAGACTCAATTTTATTGGAAACCAGAGAGGACGGTTATACAGATGACGAAATCATGGAGCTTTGGTCTTCTCAGGTGTGGCAGAAACACACAGAGTGTCAGAATAATAAAGGCATGGCTGTGTTAGATTGCCATCGATCTCATCTTTCAGAAGAGGTTCTGTCTGTCCTAAGCACCACTTGCACCTTGCCTGCTATTGTCCCTGCAGGCTGCAGCTCCAAAATACAACCTTTGGATGTCTGTATAAAGAGGGCAGTGAAGAATTTCTTACACAAGAAATGGAGAGAGCAAGCTCTGGAGATGGCTGAGACCAGCTGCGATTCAGAAACCCTGCTGCAGCTTGTGCTGATTTGGCTGGCTGAAATATTGGAAGTAATTTCCGAACATCCAGAACTGGTACAGCAGTCATTCCTTGTTGCCAGTGTTCTTCCTGGGCCTGACGGAACGGCGAACTCTGACAAGCGAAATGCGGAGATGCAGGAGGAGCTGATTAACCTGCTAGAGGAACAGTTGAAACTCAACAGTGGTGAACAAGATGATGATACTGACCAATGCAATGACAGCCAACCTGAGGAATACGCTGACCCAGATGTTCTCCAACAGCTATTTGAGGGAGAGAGTGATACTGAGTCTTTCTATGGTTTTGAGGAAACTGAACTAGAACCCATGTAAATATTGATCTATCCTCCTCCCAAATTAGTTTGATGTTGGGCTAAAGCATTCCACGTAACATCAGGGTTTAGGATTTTTTGACTGATTTAATAGCATTAGTTTTGTTTTTTGTTTTTTGTTCTTCTCCTGACAATATTTTTGTTTTCTTTTCCCTCCCCTTGAGATGATACGGCCCTTTGCACATCTTCCTTTTCCATTTACTGTAGCTCCTGACAAAGTGTCCAAAAAGAAATATCATTGTTTTAGTATGGAACCCCACTGTTACTTTTCCAACCTCAAACAAATAATTATGAATCTATTTTCACATTGCAAGCTGAATTGTAAATTGTACTCAATAGTTGCATATTTTCAGAGTTGTGGGCAGGCACACCCTCTCTCTTCCCCCCACGCCCCCCCCCTTTTTTTTTTTACCCTCCACCCCTCCCCCCCCATGTTGGATTTATGCGCAAGACAACCAGCGATGGTGTTTGATTTGGTAGAATTCCCCTCAAAGCAACCACTATTCAAATATAAATTTAAACTTTTAATTGCGGTGCCTTCCCCTACACACAGCATCGTAAGAATATCTGATGGGGACTCTATTCTTCTGATATGCTTAAGAGAATGGGCTGCTAATAAACTGCAAAAAAAAAATGAAATCGAGCCTGTGGTCCGACTGGTACACTACTAATAGGGGGTAACCCCAGGATAGAAACTTGTAGGAGAAAGCGGAGAATAGTGTACCATGAAGGGGAACTGGGATATAATATGCTCTGAATAGAGTGCCAGCTGCCTTCCAGACTAGGAACAATCAAATAAAGAAAATAAATACATTTTATTGAAATAGTCAAAATAGTCTGAAATAAACTTATATACAGTGGTGCTCGTGTGCAAAAGTGTATAAACCAACAGGTGTATGAAAGGTAAGTAAATAACCAGCTACTATGGTAATTTGTAAAGGTTCAGTCACTATATCCCCAACTTTCTATTCACAATCGGATATAAAGACCGGTATAGGATAGGCATGTAAATAGCTAGAGGCTAATAACCCTAAATGCTGGTGGATGCTAACTTACTAAATATAGTCAAATGAAAAATAATAATGTTGGAAAAAAAAACCTGTTGAGGGATCATGATGTGTAATAACACCTAGTCTAATAAAGATATACCCATGCACACGTCTGTGCCATGGTATATGTCAGTATAAATTGGCCAAGAGGGAAAGTTGTCTAAGCCATAGGAATATAAATATAATTTCAGGGGAAATGGGGAGCAAAGGTAAGTAATCAACCATATATGAGGCTGCTAATAAAATATCATCGCTGTTTGTCATCTGCACGTGCTGTGAATCTTACCCATCCTTATATGATATAGTGAATAGTATGCGGTTACCCCCTTATTATAACATGCATGTTCATGGTGGAGTTCTTTTTTTTTTTTTTTTTTAATTCCCACCGCCCCTTCCTTCTTTCTTTCCTTTACTACATATTAACAGATTAGAAGTCAGGATATTGCAGTCCTAAATTATATAGCTAAATTGTTCAACAGGAAACAGGGAGTGTGTAAATGATTAAAAATAATGTATATAAGTGGAACCACAGAATAAATATGGGCGAGAAGTGAATCTGTGTTTTTATTAGGTTGAGATGTGAATTATTTTTTCTTTTTATATATATATATATAAAGTGTTCTGTTAATTACATCCTTCTGTGTGTGTTCCACTTTTTAAAAAAAAATTTGGTACTACAATAAATAACAGTATTTTATAAAAAAAAAAGAGAGAAACAAAACTTTTTAAAAATAGGCCCGATTATCGCATCCTACATTTGTAATGTAATTTATTGCATTCCTAAATTGATTTGAGTTTCATTTTTTTTTGCCAATTTCATTATCGTCTGTTTTGTATTTTGTGCTCTTTATAGTCCAAACAGAATGTAAAAAAACAAAAACTTGATTCTTTAGTGTATATTGCAGAATAGCCCATATAAACATTCAACACACCCCCACTTCCACCTCCACTCCATTTATTGATGTGATTCTGAAGGAGGCAGGTACAAATGTAAATGTGGTGCAGGAAAGTCTCCCAGCAAATAGCTAACCTTGTAAAATAGATATGGATTGGTATTCACTCATCCAACCTAGCTAGGAAAACCGAATTCTAACTGCTTTTTTTTTTTTTAATTTATTTTTTTTAATTTCCAATAAACATCTCTAGTATTAACTATTTCAATCTCCAGTCTGTGTATTAGCTTCTGCCTTACAATGTACACATTGATATTGACACCTTTTAGAGTCTGCTAACGAGGGAGAAACTTACACAAGAGTGTTGTAGAGTAGGCGAAGCATCAGTCCTCATGGCATTTGGAAGCAGGAAATGAGCGATATTTGCCCTGGGGCAGGTTGAGGGAGGTACTTGCATATTGATAAAACTAGAAGAAAGCTTGTACAATGTCAACGTGTTAATTAAGTTGTTGCATAATGTCATATTGGATATAGTAAGTGGAATCTGATACTACAAAATTGCAGAGAAGGTATGTTCTCAATGGAACTTGGCACATTTATTCACACTTTTAATTGAGGTCAACTCCTGACCTTTTAAATTAAACAGAACCAAGAACATACATAATGTCCAAGGAGTACTGCACACAAGTGAAATGTACTTTGGAGCTCTGTGGAAGGTGGTCCAACCATCCACCATGTATGACACAAAAGTAGAAGTCCACAGGTGTCACAATGTAGGGTGAAGGAGAAATATTTTATTGAAAATCCTTTGTCCTTTTTAATCTTCAATAAAATGTATTCTCCTTTATACTACATTGTAACGCCTGTGGACTTCTACTTTAGAACCAAGAACATGAGCAGCTGATTTCATTCTGACTCTTGACTGAAGGGTTACGCTCCAGAGCACAACTTGAGTGCATGCTTCTGTAACCCAGATTTCAACTGGCCAAGCAAATAAGCCAAATTAAAATTTCTGTCTGTATTTAGTAACACAAGCTCTATGGCAGAGTTTTATCAAACACTGTGCACAGAATCATTGTTTTTTTTTCAGATGTATGTTTTTTGAGTGAATACAAAAATAGTATATAAGCATTACTACATTAAGCAAGAAGTTTAACAGTGTAAATGGCAAAATATTGTATTGTCATCGGAAAAGTTTAAAGTGCACATACCGTTCGAAACATTGTATACATCTTATATGACAAAGCAAACCATGAAAGGTAGGAGAGGAAGAGTCACGGTGGTTTGAGGGTGGTGTTGAGTCCCACGGAAAATGTGGTTGACAGTGGGGGTGTAATCATCCAAAACTTGTTGAAATTGGGAGCTTGTGCTTTGCTGTTTCTGTGCCATTCCTCAATGTTTTCCGTAAGTAGCATTGGAGACAGTGGCACAGTAATGGTTTTCCATTGTTTGGCAATAATGGTCTTCATGGCAGTAAGAACATGCAGAATATGATGGTTGGTGGATGGCAGCAGTATGTCTAAAAGGAGGCATTGTAGTGTACATGACAGTGTCAGGTTGTTTACCTCTGCGATCAAGGATGAAACAAAGGACTAGAAGGGCTTTAGGATGGGACAACTACAAAATATGTGTAGAACATATTCTGACTTGCATCTCCAACACTTGTCAGATGTGGGATCATGAACCAGCAGAAGAGCACCTCCCTACTGGTCTCCTAGTGGGAAGCGCGGGGGGGGGGAGGGGAAGATGCCTTGCGTGTTTGTGGTTCCCCTTAGCCAATTTTGAATCTTTGGGGGTCATTATCCCTATTTCACTATGTAGCTTGGTGGGACAAAATTTTATACAATAGTGATTGACAAGTAGCAAAGGGAGAGCAGCCAGTATAAGACCAAGGCAAATTCATTAGAGTACGTAAGGGTGTTTTGTTTGCTGCTCAGTGTTGATGGGCTTATATGATGTCTTTGTCATAGGTGGGTAAATAGAGCTCTGGGTTGTAAATGATAAATGGAAGCAAGTGTTGGGAAGGGTATCACAGCAACTCCATTAAATAGTTGCGCTTCATTACCCACTTCCTTGCAGGGGTAGATTGAGAGTAAGACATTGAAACGCTTAGAAAGGGGGCGTAGTATAGTAAGAACGAATAAAACTGTGGTGGGCCCGGCGGGTGAGAGCACATTGTCAGGTGGAGAACACTTTGTAGGAGGAATCACGTCATTAAACGAGTGAGGTTGCAGGAATACATTCCCAAACCTTTAGTAGAATACTTGAAGAAAAGCTCACAGCCACGATAGTTACCTTGCCAAAACCAGGAAAATCTCCATGTGGGTGCAAATTTCTTCCCTGTACCTTTAAAAAAAAAAAAAAAAAAAAAGTTGACTTAAAAGATCTTAACCAGCTCCTTTCCTTCATTACCTCCCCAGAAAAAGCCAGCTTTGACCTACACAGACAGGTGTCAGACAGCACACATGGAGTGATGGATCTCATTGATGTGGTCAAATGCCAAAACAGTCATCCTCTGCAGAGAATGTGTGCAAGAGGCTGTTTTGATCCTAGATTTTCTCCACCTTGGCAAACAATTGTCCATTGCAGTCATTGTTATCTTTATAGTTTACCCTCTGCCCGAGCCTTAAACTCAAGCTTTCACTCTGAACCCTTTCACATCTCCAGTGCAACCCAGCAGAGTTGTCCACTCTTCCTGCTATTTTTCATCCTGGCATTAGAACCCTTAAGTTAAAAAATGAAGAACACAACAGACATTACATGTGTTCCCACCACAAAGGGATAATAAGGTGTCCTTACTTGCTGATGTCATACTCTTCATGCTAGCAAACCCGGATCGGATGTGCTTAGCCCAAGAAATTGGTGACAGAAATTTGACCAGGCTATGGTCCCATCCCAATCTAGTACAGAGTTCCAGGCTGTTCGTGTATAACCTCTGGAAACTGGAATAGTTTTTCTTCCTGTAAAAGGTGGACTCCCCCTGACTCTTTGGTAACGATTGTTGGCTGGACCCTCATTTATCTCCCCTCCAAAAAGCACTCAAATAGACGTTAATTTGAGGGAATAGGAACGGTCTTTCGTTTCACCGGGCAGCCGTCCTGGACCAGACTGACTGGTGGCTGTCCCGTGCTTCTGGAGTTGGATCATTTAGCGTGAATTGGGTTAGAGAAGGGTAGGAGGGGACCAGGGGTAATTATCTCTTTTGCAGGATTATTTGTTTAGGATTCCTGTACTGGTTAATGCACAGTCCTGGTGCAGAATCAGTCATAATGTTCTTATTGAAATCTTATGGCCATTGCCCACACAGTTATTTGCCTGCAACACACCAGTGCTTACCTACAAATTAATACTGGCTAATCCTGGTACACCCTGGAGCTATACCACAGATGACATATCCGATGCTCCCGTGTAAACATAAGATAGCTGCTGAATCTTTGCTAATTTCTACTTTGCAGTTAGAAGATGGCCGGTTTTCTCAGAGACTTTGATGCTCGGTGTGAACGATTTTAGAGCTAAACAAAGTCATTAATCTGGAACTCGGTTTTCAACAGTCACCCATCAAACATGCTGATCTACAGTGAGGAAAGAAGTATTTGATCCCCTGCTGATTTTGAATGTTTGCCCACTGACTATAATTTTAATGGTAGGTTTATTTTAACAGTGAGAGACAGAATAACCAAAAAAAAACCAGAAAAATGCATGTCAAAAAAGGTATAAATTAAGATGCATATCAATGAGTGAAATAAGTATTTGACTACTTGGTGGCAAAACCCTTGTTGGCAATCACAGAGGTCAGATGTTTAGTTAAGTTGGCCACCAGATTGGCACTCATCTCAGGAGTGATTTGGTGCCACTCCTCTTTGCAAATCCTCTTCAAGTCATTAAGATTTCAAGGCTGACGTTTGGCAACTCAAATCTTCAGCTCCCGCCACAGATTTTCTAAGGGATTAAGGGCTGGAGACTGCCTAGGCCACTCCAGGTTCTTAAAGTGCTTCTTCTTGAGCCACTCCTTTGTTGCCTTGGCTGTGTGTTTTGGGTCATTGTCATGCTGGAATACCCATCCATGACCCATTTTCAATGCCCTGGCTGAGGGAAGGAGGTTGTCGCCCAAGATTTGACGGTACATGGCCTCCGTCCATCGTCCCTTTGATGCGGTGGAGTTGTCCTGTCCATTTAGCAGAAAAACACCCCCAAAGCATAATGCTTCCACCTCCTTGTTTAACGGTGGGGATGGTGTCCTTGGGGTCATAGGCAGCATTCCTCCCTCACTGAATGTATTCTTTTAGAGCGAACACATGGCCCTTGGGTCCTGATTTGCCGGGGGAGGGCTGCCTGGGCTGTCAGGCAGTCCTCCCGAAGAGGATCGTGGTGGAGGTAAGTTTCTCCTGGCTCCTGGGGGCTTAAGCTGTTACAACGTTCTATGCCCATTATAATGGGGACTGCCTAGAACGCCGTAACGGTGTTAAGGGGTAGACTTCTATTATTATGTACAAATATGTTGTTTTTTTTAAAATTTCATTAATTGAAATCCCATGGTCTGTTGATTTGAACATTCTGTTGTATACCTTTTTAAACAAAGTTGTAACAGGACTGAATGTATTCTATTGGGATTTGAGACATCTTTAGCTGTCTCAGTTTTATTTTTTTAAATTATGTTTTTAATACCAAGCATATACATAGACCGTTGCCAAGAAACCTAAAGCATGCTTGTAAAAAAAATGTTATTGTATTACAGATAACAAAAATAATCCTGTATAACATTTAAAGCCATGTTCGTATCAGTTTAAGCACCACTTGTTCATCCGAGCTCCCTCATTCAACTGAGGAATGGAGTCTTGATAACATCTATGTCATAGGTGTGGTAGCTGCCTCCTCTCCCTTCACAAAGTCTCGCACTTGAAGATAGCAAAAGTAATCCTATGATGTGAGGGGAGCAAGCTCCCACAACCATGTGTATGTAACTGTTCTCCACATAGATGTGAACATAACTCTCATGTTTGGTAAGAAGGCCTTATTCCTGAGCACGGGGTAGAAAGCCACTAGGAGAAAATTTCTTCACTGTCCGAGCCCATGTCCGAAGGGAATTAAGAATAGCTGGACTAATGGTCCACAGGAAAACCGTATCCATTCTGAAAAATAGAGGGAGATCTGCATCCATCAGAAGGCAGCCAATATCTACCCAAAATCTTTATTGTGGGGGTGAATGCCAGTGAATAATCTATGCCAGTTGCTCTGCTAGATAGTAAAAAGATAGATGGGGCAGGTCCCAGCCAGCCTCCCGACCTCTTGATTTAGGTTTGTAGAGCAAGGTGCACAAGATTCTACTGCACCTACCATGCCATAAAATGCATTGATTGTTTGCTGTATTGCTGCCAGGGCTGACATAGTTACATTTACTTCCTCCTGTGTAATGGGCGCCGTCTGGGGCGTCCCCAGTCACCCTCAGTATAGACATCCCAGAGAAAAAAAGACTTCAGTTTTGCTGTATATTCCGGGTTCTCAAAAGTGTGTTGGGGTGGGGAGGGTGGTTGTATAAAGCCGAATAGTTTTGTTTGAATACTTTATTTACAGTTGTAATCAAAATTACAAAAAGCTATTGAAATAGCTCAACACAACAAATACTTACAAAAAGTCAAAAGATGCCCAAGCTTGAGCTTTCTCACAGACTGCATGATGCTTTCTCCTAACATTTCCTGATTGTTCAATGAATCCATCATGCCCCTCACACACTGCAGGTTTCCAGTGTCAGAGAATGCAAAGCAACCCCAGCGCATCACCAAGCCACCACCATTCTTAATTGTAGGCAGAGCTTCATTCTTTTTCCTCCAGACGTACCGCTGATCCAGTGAACAGAAACGTTTGTTTTGTTTCATCGCTCCACAGAACAGAATCCCAAAACATCTGTGGTTTATATACAGTATCTCATAAAAGTGAGTACACCCCTCACATTTTTGTAAATATTTTATCTTTTCATGTGACAACACTGGAGAAATGACATTCTGCTACAATGTAAAGTAGTAAGTGTACAGACTGTATAACAGTGTAAATTTGCTGTCCCCTCAAAATAACTCAACACACAGCCATTAATGTCTAAACTGTTGGCAACAAAAGTGAGTACACCTCTAAGTGGAAATGTCCAAATTGGGCCCAAAGTGTCTATTTTGTGTGACCACCATTTTTGTTCAAGCACTACCTTAACCCTCATGGGCATGGAGTTCACCAGAGTTTCACCGGTTGCCAATGGAGTCCTCAACTACTCCTCCATGACGACATCATGGAGCTGGTGGATGCCCCACAGATGCTCAATAGGGTTTAGGTCTGGAGACATGCTTGGCCAGTCCATCATCTTTACCTTCAGCTTCTTTAGCAAGGCAGTGATCGTCTTGGAGGTGTGTTTGGGGTTGTTATGTTGGAATACTGCCCTGCGGCCCAGTCTCTAAAGGGAGGGGATCATGCTCTGCATCAGCATGTCATAGTACATGTTGGCATTCATAGTTCCCTCAATGAACTATAGCTCCCCAGTGCCGGCAGCACTCATGCAGGCCCAGACCATGACACTCCCACCACCATGCTTGACTGTAGGCAAGACACACTTGTCTTTGTACTCCTCACCTGGTTGCCGCCACACATGCTTGACACCATCTGAACCAAATAAGTTTATCTTGGTTTCATCGGACCACAGGACATGGTTCCAGTAATCCATGTTCTTAGTCTGCTTTTCTTCAGTAAACTGTTTGCGGGCTTTCTTGTGCATCATCTTTAGAAGAGGCTTCCTTCTGGGGCAAAAGCCATGCAGACCAATTTGATGCAGTGAGTGGCATATGGTCTGAGCACTGACAGGCTGACCCCTCACCCCTTCAACCTCTGCAGCAATGCTGGCAACACTCACGTCTATTTCCAAACGACAACCTCTGGATATGAAGCCGAGCACGTGTACTCAACTTCTTTGGTCGACCATGGCAAGGCCTGTTCTGAGTGGAACCTGTCCTGTGATACCGCTGTATGGTCTTGCCCACCGTGCTGCAGCTCATTTTTAGGGTTTTGGCAATCTTCTTATAGCCTAGGCCATCTTTATGTAGAGCAACAATTCTTGTTTTCAGATCCTCAGAGAGTTCTTTGCCATGAGGTGCCATGCTGAACTTCCAGTGACCAGTATGAGCAAGTGTGAGAGCAATAACACCAGATTTAACACTCCCCATTCACACCTTAGACCTTATAACACTAACAAGTCATATGACAGTTTTAAAACCATTCTTCTTCCATTCGATATTATGCAAATTATCCACCAAACTTTAGTTTAACCCCTTAAGGACACATGACGTGTGACATGTCATGATTCCCTTTTATTGCAGGAGTTTGGTCCTTAAGGGGTTAATTTGGCCCAAGATAACTAATCTAAATTACAATGGCTCAATTTTACAGTAGACTTGGTGGATGCAGAAGCTGGGTCACAAGGAATTATCGATATTAGTAGAACTAGTCCAGGGGTTCTCAACCCAGTCCTCAGGACCCCCTACCAGTCCAGGATTTGGAGATTACCTGGGTGTGTCTAAGGTGTTTAGAAAAAGGGAAGAAAAAAAAAACCTTAGACTCTAAGGTGTTTTTTTTTTCTTTTTCTAAACACCTTAGACACACCCAGGTAATCCCTAAACCCTGGACTGGTAGGGGGTCCTGAGGACTAACGTTGAGAACCCCTGAACTAGTCCCTATGGGGGATTTGATGGTGTATGGGGGGAACCTAGAGGGGGTAACCCTAAATAGCATGTACAAATAAACACATAAATGTCTACTGGGTTGTAAAACCCAGAAGGCACAAAAAAGTCGCTCTTAGAATAGTAAGAAAAAATAATGAACAATTTTCTGTTCTAAAGAAGGATGATATGGCAGTAGAAAAAGTGCAGAGACGAGCTACAAAATTGATAAAAGGAAATGGAGCATTTTAGTTATGAAGAAAGGTTAAAAAAATGTAAATCTCTTTAGTATGGAAAAACGGCACCTCAGAGGGGATATAACATTATACAAATATATATGGGGCCAGTACAAACCATTATCTATAAATTGGGCTGTACATAGAACACGCATTTAGGCTGGAGGAAAGGAGATTTAATCTAAGGCAAAGAAAAGGTTTTTTTTACAGTAAGCGCAATAAGAATGTGGAATTCTCTGCCTGAAGAGGTGGTTTTATCAGATTCCATACAGATGTTTAAACTGAAATTGGATAAATACTTCCAAAAACATAACATACAGGGATATCATTTCTAATTAGTGGGGTAATTGGCGACTTGATCCAAGGAGCTATCTGACTGCCGTTTTCCGGTCAAGAATTGGAACCGCTTCAGACTGGGTTTTTTGCCTTCTTTTGGATTAACAGCAAAAACACATGTGAGGAAGGATGAACTTGAGAGAAAAGTCTATTTTTTGCTATGTAACCTGTAAACATAGGTTTTTTGTAATGGGCTTCTTTTCTTGATAGTCCCATTGTTTATAATAAATAACGTGTCTTCATTATCTTACTATTCTAAAAGGGACCTTTTTGTGCCTTTTGGGTTTTATGTTTTTCATTGTTTTTATTACCAAAATTAGGCCTGACTCAGGGCAACCACCTTCCACCTTGCTTTAAGCCATATGAACAAGATGTAAATCCAAAGTCTGATACAAGTCCTTATCTAGACTCATGTCTGTAGACAAAAAATGCAAATGAAGAATATGGAGAGTCAGGATTAAAATTTGGATCAGAAAACCAACCAACTTGAGAGAAAACATGGCGTTCTGAAGCCATAGTTCTGGAACCTGAATGCAAAATTCCTAATGAAAGAGAATTAACAAACAAGGATTTATGCCCTTCCTTTATTCCCCGCTCAGGTCAAAAAGTTATTGC